AGCGGCTCTGAAGAAGGCGATACTGCCGAAACGTCAGCTAGCGTTGTATTGTATTGTGTTTTTCTATGGAAGTAAATGTATGCTGTTTAAAAGCCTCGCGATTGCTGAACAAGAAAACGACACATTCACAATAATGCTGAGACATTTACAAAATCTAGAGCCTTAGGTCAGCATCGAACCCGCGATTACTCTTTCCTGAAGTTCGTTTGCTAGGCGTGGATCATCAACTGGGATTGTATCACACATAATACCCCACCGTGAAAAAGTAAATTAAGGAAAAGCGACTAAATAAAAAAAATTGATACTGTGATTCGGACTGCAGCCTCAGCCTAACTGAGTTCATAGTTGATCTGTGCTCCCTAGATCAGTCCCATTGACGGGTGATTGCTGATGCCACTGGTAGACAGAAAACTAGCTGAGAGAAAGTTGAAACAAAGGCACCGCATGGTGTGATGGTGAACGCGTTAGATCCCGGAAAGGGTAATAACGCGTTCGTTCCCCACCACAGACACCTACGGTTCGCAGTTTTGCAAATATCTCCGCATGATTACTATTCGTATTGAAACTAAAAAGCCAACGGCATAGAATGAACAAGGATGGAGATGAATTTCTAGGAATTAACGGTTAAAATCACCTCGTTTACATTCGTATATTTTCTCGTCTTCGTTAAGAATATGAAACCCTCTAGTCTCAATACATTCTCACCTAAATTTCGGTCGTGATTTCTGTCAAGTAAAGTTCTAAAGTAATCCATCTACACGCCTCTTCTTGGGCGGTCCACTTCCTCCGCTCTCGCCTGCACTCTTCGCTGGCACTCGGCCAAGACCAATACGCGTTAGGCGGCCGTTTCGGACTACCAAACTTTCGTAGCCATGTGCTTGCTGTTACTAATCACTTACTGAATTTCACATTCCGGTCGTTCGCTTCAAAAATGACAATCAGCGAGCCGGAATTCCGTCGAGCACTAGCCGATTTCGTATCGAAAATCGATCAATTTGGAAAAGTTGAACGGTGGACGTTAAATAAGGTCAGTTTATTTGTGTTCCTTTTTGTTTCTCTTCTTATATTTGCGTTTTATTTGTTGTGTAAGTCACGTTTAAAAAGTGTAATCAAAAAGCTGCTGATTTGTGGCGAACTTATAAGGCCCAATTTCTGTCTGAAATAAGAGATCTGGAATTGTAATATCACAGGTGCTTTAGATAAAGGATAAAGGATAGAGCTCTCGGCGTTGATCAATCCTTGGGGGATGCGCCATGCATTCGACTTCATTAAGCATCGTTTGGAGGCGATTGAATGCATATCTGGTCCTTGCAATGACTTGTGGTGACCTACCGATGTATCGAGCCAGTGCTGCTATCCTTCCAGACAAGTCTGGTACTAATTTGCCGATCCAGGAGGGATGGAAAGCTTGGTGGGTCATGGGCGCGGGGTTCGATTCCACGTGTGTGTTGCGGGGCGCCTCCTACCACTGCTCCACACGTGTTCTCTGCTTTAGATATGTATTTAAATTTTCTACTGAGTATTCACGATAAAGAAGTCTTTCGAATTTACGCACTTTCGAGTTTTATGGGAATGTTGGGGCCAGGGTAGCCATGTGGTCGGAGAAGCCCTGGAATACACACGTGGTCGATCCCCGCGCCCCAGGCCCACTTTCCATCACTCCTGGCTCGGCAAATTGGTACCAGACTTGTCTGTGAGGTTAGCAGCACTGACTCGATACATCGGTAGGCCACCACGAGTCATTTTAAAGGTCTGGTATGCATTTAGTGACCTCCAACGATGCTTAGTGAAGTCGAATTTATGGCCCATCCCTTAGGGAATGGTTAACGCTGAGAGCTTTATCCTTTTTTAAAATCAATGTTTCGTAGCTTGATGTTTTCGGTGGAAATTCAGGTCAAAACGCGATATTCTCTAGAGTTTTTGTTCTTCTTTCCATTCTTGCTCCTTTGAAACAGTTTTTTTCCCTGTTAATAAGACAGCTTTTCGTGCTGTAAAACCACATTTCCTCACAAGCAGTCCACTTTAGGATGGAGAAATGGAGAAAAAGAGTTTTCAAGTGATTTTAAGTTAAAATAGAGCTATATTTATTTTCGATTCTATCTTGTACGATTCATATAGGGCCAAATTGTGAAGAAAATCCTTTCGTATTTGTGGAATACCAGGTCAGTTCAAACCATTTTTTCCGTTAACATTCACTCTGCCAATCAGTGTTACTTTTTGTTTGGGGCAAGCTTATTGAGACACTTGACCATGCAAACTACTTTCTGGTGTTTATTAAGTAATCTAATTTGATATCTGAGCAATACAAAAAGTAGGTAAAAAGTATTAAAATAAAATGATTTTTTTGGGTTTGCCCTTCGCATAGTTCTTGCTATTTCGACAAATATTGTTTGATTGACTTATTACGGTTTTTTTAAATTTAAATCTTTATATACTTCCCCTATATATGTATTTTTATATATGTTGAACATTTACTTATATCCTTATCCCTATATTTATATCTGTAACTTTATATCTTTATTCATACATCTCCAACTTTAAGTTGTTTTATTTCTTGTCCATGTTTTTAGGTTAACCTTTGTAATGTTTATACATTTGGCACTAATGGATAGGAAACTGAAACGGTTTTAGTTTCAAAATTGGTAAATTGTGGTGGAAACTTTCATCTTAATTAGTCATAAAATGAGCGGTACATTTGGATACTTGGAATTGGATGGCCCGTCCTCACTGGTTGTGCGGGTCCCACCATAATCTCCATTTTTCGGAGTTTAGCTGGCTAAGCCATTGTGGTTCCCTGAAGTCGCGAGGTTAGCCTGGCCAAAATCTTCCCCACGTCTTCACCACCACGGGCAGTCGCAGCCCTTGTGGATCAGAGGGAGATTTACCAGCATGCGACTTTGATACCAAGACGGTGGTGGATCCTGGTATTGCTTTACTCTTAGCTAGGCTTCCTGATGGAAACGCCGGACTCCTTCTCACTCGGAAGACCCTGCCAGGGGATGAATCCCCCGCTGTACATCGTAGGGCGACACTCAGGAACACCTCCTAGTCACGATGAGGCGGTAAACCGTTGGGAGGAGTGAGCGGTATAGTACTAAGATATCCATAGTAGATTTCCCTATGAGAATTGAGAAAACTGAGACATTTCTCACTAGCTATATATAGAATCATGTCCTGATTATAATTTATTTATACCGCGCCATGAAAAGACAACGCTGCTTATAGAATGGGACGCATAAATGTCATTGTTTTACTACCTATTCTATTGAAATTGTACTCTCCGAAAAAGTTCAACACTATTTTCGGAATCAAATTGAAAGCTGGAAAGTAACTGTCTTTTCTCTGACAACTTTTTGAGTGTTAAGGTTTATTGATGATATTATTCGATGTTTGAAATGCAAGATTAAATAGGGCTGTTGATGCCACTCAATCGAGAACACTAAAGACCCACTGAGAATTGATCCCAAATGTAGCTGCGTCTTCCACACTATGAGCTGGGTGATGTGGTTCTTACTGCATCATTCACGGAATGATACAGTTCTTAGAAAGAAGCGGTAGCTTGAGTTTATTTCCACTATGATCAGTCTTATTCGACTCCAGTGCATTCATAACTCATAGGATTAGGTTAGGAAGTAGTTAGTATTTTTGTTTATTAAGTATTTAGTAGTTTAAGTAGCTGGGAGAGGAAGTAGTCCCACATCCTCTTTAAAATGGATATGTGCCATTTTACTGCTGCCTGGCGCTGCGGTTTAGTGGCAAACAACGGATATAGTCCTTGCCTGGAAATTGGTGTCAAGGGGTTCAGCAGTATGGTGGTTACGCTATAGACTGGTATAAAAACTCTGTGGAAAAGTGAACAGCCAAGAAAATGGCGATAAACTACTTCACTTGTTCTCTTCCATTCCACTACCTTCCATATACAAGAAGTCAAATCCATATATTTGTACATGAATTTGCTCGTGTACACGCAAATTTTACTTTACACACCTCTTCGTCCATAAATCTGCAAGGAATTGGCAAGCACGCAGAAAATGGATCGGGCAGGGTTGTTTCCGTTACGGACTTTATGTAAGTATATCCATTACAAGAACGAATAGGGTGTTTACCAGCGCTCGTTAGAATAACGATGACCAATGAGGTAATAGGTGAATTAGGGAGTTGTTTTGGAGGAAAGTCGAAGGAACTAGTCATTTCTCATTAACCAAATTGCTTGAAAGGGCTGTATTTTAGGATCTATTGGTTGTTTTCGCATTTAGACACCTTGTAAACACTCTTAAATTTTGGTATACGATAACACGAAATCTTATGGTGTTTTACCATCGTTACAGTATAGTAATGGACCTCTTTTTAATTGATCTGACTTGGAAACAATTCAGAAACTTTCAGTCAGACTTGGGAATATGCGCGAAACAATCTGTGATGATAAAGTGGCGAGGCGAAGTTATAAACCGACAAGTACACATCACCTACAACTCCACTTATAATGTTCCGGTGCTTTGGTTCAATTTTTACCGACGAGGTGAGACTATAGAGTGTTTGTATTTACAAGTCAATAAGTCATCGAGAACTTTAGACCATGCGATAATCTTCATCTTATTATTTACTCGTTCGAAGACATAAACTCTTAAAACAACAGTGAGCTTTGAGTAAGGTTAAAACTAGTCATGAGCAGGATACTCTACTAAATCACTTCTAGTTCTAACGCAGTGACCTTTAACTGCCACGACCGACTTTCTATTAACCTCGGCATTGATCAAGTGATTTTCTTCGTATTTTTGTTGAGCAAACGCGAGGTGTTACTATTCTTTGTTCACGATTAAGCTGACGTTTCGGCGGATTTCGCCTTCTTCAGAGCCTGGAAAGGTCAAGTTGACAGCAATCTACTTGGCCAGACGCCTCCAAAACCAAACAAAGAAACTCTAAACCAAGATTTCAATCACATTGAACACAGCTTTGCACACTCACCGCTTTCTATGAGGTCTCCACTAAGTATGTCACGTAGAGACCAACCGCACAGAAATCACGTGGAAGTATAATGTGCCCCTCACATCAGAAAAGCAGTTTTATATACTGCCCTATATCACGCGTGATAATGAGGCATTCCTCCTTGCGGTTCATTTTCGGATTTCTGGAATTAATCCAGAGTGCCTCGAGAGTTTTTCGCGCCTGTGTTCTTAATTCACGTGCGAGGATCGTGACACATACTTCGAAGTCGTCCCCGCTATGTCTCTGGGTCCTATGCGTGCCTAGTGGGGTATTTGGTCTATGTTTGCCGGCTAGGTGTTCTTTCATGCGGACACAGAGAGGTCTACCCGTTTCGCCAATGTATTCGTCACCACACGTCTTACAGGAAATCAGATAAACTATGCCCGAGCTCATGCAATCACCGTCTCTACCACTGGGGCAAATTATGCAATTTTGAGTTGCACATAGACGGTCATATAGGCGGTCACGAACTAGCTGGCGCTTAAGATTACTCGGTGGTATTTCAACTACGCTCACCTAATTCTCTAAGCCCGCCCTTCTTAAGCAGCGTTTCATAGCTGTACTTATATCATTTGAGATGATGGGTAGGATAAACGGGACCTTTCTATCGCTAGAGTTGTCGTTTGGGGGCCTACGATTTCCTCTACACCTATTCTGAGCTACAGTTTCGTAGCCATTAGAAACGGCTATTTGCCGTGCCAAGTTCCGGGACTCCTCTCTCTGCTCTCTTCCCGTGCACACGTTGGTTGCTGTTCGAAATATGTTTCTTATAAGCGCCCTTTTCGTGTGAGAGGGGTGAGAGGAGAGGTAATGAACCAAGATGTTTTTACTACTTGGCTTTCGGTACCACTTTGTAATGTAGCCATTTTCTGATAGGTGAATTTGTACGTTCAAAAATGGAAGCCATTTTTCTTTCGGCTTTTCTCGGGTGAACTTGATATACTCTGACTGTGCGTTTAACAATTCGAAGCATTTGTCCATTTCCTCTTGTGTTGAGCAAAGGACAAAGCAGTCGTCTACATACCTACAGTAGAGTAGCGGCCCGAGATCAGTCACCGGTGCTTCCACCTTAGACATAAATGCAATGGCAAGGCTTGGAGCCAGTCGTTGTCCCATTGCCAACCCTCTTATTTGAGCGTAGTACTTTCCAGACCATCTGAAGATTGAGCAGCCCAAGCATTCTTTTAAGAGTGCCATCAGGTGCTCTATCCTGAAGCCATACATGTTTATTTCTCCTTCCTGTTGTGTAAGGAGTTCGAATATGGCTTGCATTGCGGAGTCATTCGACACGTTTGTATAAAGGGCGGTAACGTCGAAGGACTCCATCACGCACTCGCTGTTGGGCTGCGCAGTACGTAGACGATCCAGAAACATCTGGGTATTCGTAAGATGGGCTGGAATGTGTGACCAGTGACCTTTAAACATATTCCTGTCAAACATATGGAAAGGATGCGACCAGGCATTTAGATCCATTACATGTTAACAATGAAGTTGTTATGAATTGTAAACCGCAGACATTGTGTACAAGACACTTGGAGGAAGAAGCCATTTAACAGAAGTACGTATTAACAGGCGTCCATGAAGGAGGATGGCACATCCTAGTCTGCAGCACTGCATTTATCAGAAAGGACCGGTGACTGACAAGTGGACGTTGGTCATCATATCTCTATTGGTTGGAGGCTGCTGGAAATCGTAGAATAGTTGGGAAGTTCACCTCACAATAGTCATCATTAACGAACACATCGTTGTTCTGCTGAACCATTCGTTTCTGGGGTTCTAAGCAGCCCAGTTCAGAAGCAATATCTATGCTTGGCCTGTTCTGGAAATTGACAATTATTACGTAAACAATAGCCAAAAAATGGATCACTGTGCCACTCAGTTTGGTACAGAGGACTCACTAGCTGCTGGCTGACTCAAACCAATCATCAACATGTCATGCATTGCTGATGGTTTACCAGGTGTGAAAAAGTGAATTAGCCTGATGTTAGTGGTGCAACATAGGATTTGTGTCGGACAAGACCATATCTTAACCTTGGTAGCTAAGTCTTTATGTAAATAATATAACAGCAGCAATAAAGCGAGACTAGTAACACTATATAAACAACATGTTATTATGTTTTATTATGAAGACTGAGGAAGCAAGAAAGGACAATGAACAAAGAAGAAATCAACGGGAATGGTTTGCTCTAGAAATGACATAATCTTTTCCATCGAGTACTATGTCACAAAGATGGGAAGGTATAAGAGCATGGAGAGACTAGGGTACAAGAACTTGATCAGCCAAAAAGGATGGCCTACACAAATACATCAGATAATAACGGTACACAACTGAGGAGAATTTTAACAACTCAATGCAAATGCAAGTGTAGGCATAAAAAGAGATAGAGATTGAGATGATTATTCCCTATTTAATGGACAACGTTCTCTCTACGCCAAATAGGATCAGAAGGATAGAGACGTATTAGTGAGGAATATCAGAAAGCAACCGAGTAGGAGGAAAAATACTCATAAAATAATACAACACTACTGGATCCCAACATTGAGTAGTAAGCTTCATGACAGAATATACATTAAACGATACGACAACAAAAAAGGGAAATGCTAATTGTGAAGACCGGGCATAACAACGCCGAGATGTATATAACGGTAACTGTGTAATAAAACAGTTACAGAGTTTCGATCATAATCGATTGTGAAATACTCCAACCCACTTTAAAGGTGGTCGTTTTTCCATTTTAGGGTGAAGAAATCAAGCTCGCCGTACCTTCATGGTTATGGCATCTTCAGTTATTCTCCGCTCTTATCATGCAGCTTTAGTAGTCTTACATACAGTATACTAGTTTCAGAGTCCTCTTTTTTAGTGCAAAAATTGTCCGCTGTTTCAATTCAACGACGACTCAAAAGTGCGACCATACTATATAAGTACAGATCGGACGCGAGATTCAAAGAAAAACTATGCATAAAGTATTCTTGAGCCTATTACTGAGGAAAGAAACATAAACGTTATAATTTCCACTACTAAGTGTTTCACACGAGTGATATATTTGCATAAAAAGTACTCGACCATAAGTTTAGACACCTCCCCTCTCCTCCACGTCTCCCTTCTTCAGTTCTTTTTTTAATTTACTATTTGTAAGATCACTATTATTTGTTTAATAGATGAAAAAGATACTTTTATCACTGCATGTCAAACTTGATTCCAGATGGGACGCCACTAGTGGGTTCTGAAGTGAAGGAGATTATAAACAATGACGATGCATCAAATATCGCAGAGTATATTTCTCTCAACGAGCATCCCTTTTTGGGTGTGCTATTCTATAACATTCACCCATGCAAAACCAAGGACATTATGAATGAGCTCAGCGGCAAAGGCAACTATATAGCTAAGTAAGTGAGGTGTGAATGAATTGTGATAGAACAACAATCTCCACACTCGTTCAAACTTCAATTACTGTACAAGCGTCAGAGAGATATAATAGTTTTATTGGTGACAGAACTGGAATTGATATGCCTCTTTGTGGGCATTTATGAAATTGCAGAATTTCCATATTTCATTTGCCACTTCTTTTTCAAATAAAGTCTCGTTTCACCCAACGTTCTACTTTCTCACAGCTCCGAGCTAGACTGAATTTGGCATAAATTTATCTCTCAAATTTTAGACATTACAACAAATGAAATAAGCGAACCATGCTTTTGTTTCAGATGGCTATCGGTTTATGGATCTCCAATCGGCCTGATTCCACCTGACATAGTGCTCATTTCGAAAGTCTTTCCGCAGCGGTTCGAAGACGTATATCACAGTTCGGACGATAGTTTACTGAGCACATTGGAGATGTAGACATGATGTGGCCTCGAGATTTCATAAGAGAAATACCTCTAGGCCGAGGTATGTCATTTGCTGTTGAGATGTCCTGAGATAGATAATATTTACGTCTTTTTAAAAAACAACACGTGTTGAATAGGTCCGTACTACTGAAAATCTTAATTGGATAAAAAAAGACGCACACGACCAACTCACGGTAGCTGGATCGAGGAATTCTAGTAGTGTGAGGAATATCATGCTGATTAAGGCCACCGTTATGTAAAGAATACCAAATCCAATTCCTTGGTTAGCATATCTGTCACACTGTTAGATACTCACGATTTTAAGGAAATGTAATATTCTTGATACCTCACTTTTTAAGGCCACTTCGCCACTGCTGTGTCGGTTCTCGCATTGCCTCTTTGTATACTACCTCGGTACGTTTTGCTACCTAAATGTTTTATTTTATCCCATCCATGTCAAACTGGCTTTTAGAGTAGGACATTTGCCCCGTAATGACTTGGTAATGATCACCACAATTTGTTGGAGTAGTAATATAAAATACAGGATTGTCTAGCCTTTTCCCCTTATTAATCCCCCAGTATTTTATCTTTAAAAGTTCGAAACTCGAAAACTATAAAACTTAAAGGCATAAATTACAATCTGGGAGGTTTTCCAAATAGAGTTCTACATCCACAAAAAAATTATAACATTTTCGATCCAAGGACTTTTTATACAATGCAGAAAAAAGGACTGAATTGTCGACGATGAAGGGTCCGCTTTGTCGTTCTTGTACATTTAGTGCTGGCGAGGTTAAAAAGCTCCATGAATGGGTGCTATATGACTCCAATGAAGCACATATACTGAGGCCAAATTCTGCACCATTATAAATGACATGTTTTTGCTCGAGTCGCCGTCAACAGACTGTAGCCGAAGAACAATCACGAGAACCTGCAACACTTCGAAAAGCTTCATCAGAAGTTCATGCCATAGCGAACTCACTAATATATCAATCAGTGAAATATCAGTGGAGTACTGAATGCCATCTTGTGCCACTTTTACCCAATTAAAGACTTTAAAGCCTTTCACCCATATGAGGAAGACGCGTCCATAGAAGCACCGTACAGCTAGGATGTCCTTTCCCCGTATACACAAACGCTTTGCGTTCCATGAAATAATTTTGCGACCACTGCGTGACCATTCCATAGCAACATTTTCGTTTGTAAACATTTAAAACAAGTGGGAGGAGGCGATACCATTTCACTTGAATTTTCTACACATTCTCGAGAAGCAGAAACTGAAATGAGATAACATGGAAGGAAAAGATGACAGCCGCTCTTATGCTTAATTCATGATGAACAGAACAAATACTTCCTAACGTTGCAGTTATAGTTAAGAAGTGAATTACGCGAACTTTAAAACAGAGGGTTACTTTTCAATCACCCTTAGTATATATATATATATATATATGTATATATATGCATATATATCTTTACAAAAGCACATTTATACAATGTCTTCCAACGGTTTACCGCCTCATCGTGGCTGGGAGGTGTTTCTGGGTGTCCAACTGCGATCTACAGCGAGAGGATTCGTCTCCCCGGCCGGGTCTCGTAAGCTGAGAAGGAGTCCGGTGTTTCCATCAGGAAGCCTAGCTAAGAGTAAACCAATACCAGATACACCATCGTCCTGGTATCAAAGTCGCATGCTGGCAAATCTCTCTCTGATCCACAAGGGCTACTACTGCCTGTGGTGGTGAGGACCTGGGGAAGATTTTGGCCAGGTTGACCTCGGGATTCCTGGGAACCACAATGGCTTAAGCAGCAAATCTCCGAAAAATCGTGATTATGAGGGACACACACAACTAGTGAAGACAGGTCGTTCAAGTATCGAGTAAGTATCAAGTAGTATTTATATAATGACTTCTATTTACAATGCAGTATAAAGATTTGAAAATTTAACGTTCCTGTACTTAAATATTCACTTACTTCGGGCCAGTAGTACATATTCGAAACAGCCAGATGTTTCTCAATCGGATCTATCAGTTGCCTTTTTTCTCTTTTATAGATAGCGTCGGAAATTGCATCAACCAATACTAAAAAGTATAACTGACCCTTAACATCCGACAGAAATGCGAAAAAAACACCTTACACTCTGGAACTGGTTCCTCCAATGAAATAAAGTCGGCTGGTAATACTTCTGGTACACCACCAACTCGTGTAGATACGACGTGCAAACTAAAAATTTGCAGAAAAATGAAATCTTGTAATTGAATGATTTTAATCTTGAGACTTCAGTTCGTACCCACAACTAGCAGCCTCCACTATGCTCATACAGAACGCTTCCGTCAACGATGTGTTAATGAATATCTAAGATAAATTTTGGTAAATCATTTCATAATATATGTGACACATTTGTAATATGTATACAAGCTGTCAAAATGTCCAATTTTTTTTTATTCCGGCGTTAGGAACATCTGCGACTGCTGAATATTCATTAGGATAAAACATTTCTGAACTCTGGACAGATAACAACGTTTCAGTGTACTTTTGAAAATCCGTAACTAAACATATCACCAAAATGAAAAAAGACATCGAAGAATCATCAGTGTTCTTACCTGACCCTTTACGAGGACCTCACGCACCATGTTATGTGGTAGAGCTCCAATCAATGTCACCCTATTATGCAAGTGATGCTGCTCTCTCATTTCTTCCAATTCCAGTCGTTTTGGTCCGTCTCCTCCAACAATAAAACGCACTTGAGGATGACGAGCACACACCTCAATGATGATCAACAATAAATCGTGACTTTTTATTTGCATTCTTAATAGAGAACTTGTCGTCAACAATCAGATAAACTACTTCGGATGATTTTTTTTCCAAACTGTTCATAGAAATCGACATTCTGGGAAGTTAGGAATTACAACGGATACAGTTAGGCTCTTTGAAACCTATTTTGCGCTCTTTTTGCTTGGTGGTGTTTTAAAAATGATTAGATTGACTTTGTAATACTCGTCTTTTCATTGTGGAACATATACAAACAAGTCGGACGGATGCAGCTAGCAAGAGGTTTGCTTAGAATACGAGAATGGATAACATCATCTAAAAAGACCAAGTGGATGAGATTTTCCTTCTTTTGAAATTGTGGGTACATTTACTACCAAAAGATGAAACTGTATTAAGATGACACCGGTGACAAGTCACTGGTCCTACTGCTCGAAATAGAAAATCAATACCTTCGGAATTACTGCACAAAGGAGGTCTGCACCCTTCCTGTAAACAAGCCTCCCAAGAAATATCACTGTTGTCGGGTTTTCATAGAACTGCTTGATATCCGGATAGAATAACTTCGTCTCGATAGCGTTCGGTATAGTGAATACTTTCCGTGGATCTAGTTTCCCTCGAAGAACAGTATTTTCTTTGCTAAACGTCTTGGTTTAACGTGTGTTGACTTATTAGAAATAACGGCATTACAGATGAAGGTTAGACACATAGAAATGTTTTAACGGACCTGGTGTACGAGACACAGATCACCCTGTTAACATTGGCTAAAGAATATTGCAGAACAAGAGTATTTGTAAGGATGGCGGACGCATCAGCAAAACCGAATAGAGAGTGGTCAGTGAACACAGTTCTAATCCCCATCAACCAGCCATTAAACATAGCTTCATGAGCCATAGAAGAAAATGTCTGAATAGGATCGACTCAGCCTTCAATATTGAGGAAGTTCAGTTTTAAATACAGTGAAGTTTCGAAACCGACTTTCCTTGAACCTCGGTATCACTAATCAATATGTATTCTTTCTTTGATGAGCTTACACGAGGTTGATAATGATGTAATTGTAATAATGAAGCTCTTTCATACAGGACGGTTCTTTTGTGCTAGCTGATAATAACACCGACTTCTGCACGATGTACGCGATGATTATGTCCGAAAGAAAAACAAGTTGTTATCACCGGACATTATCGTTATATCTACCATCGGCATCGTGTATAAAAGGGCATCACTGAGTAAGGATGCCTCATTCGAGGAGATGACTCACTAAAGAAGACCTGACTCGACACGAAGGCGAAGCTGCCACATCGAGACGAATAACAAGCGAGGACCATCGACTCGAATCATCGGCTCTGAGGAAGACGAAGACGTCGAAACGTTAGCCGAAAACAAACATCATTATCAACCTCGTGTAAGCTCATCAAAGAAAGAATGCAGTGAAGTTTATCACTAACCGAGTGCCCGTGAATAAGCTGGATGTTTTCCCGAAGAAATATTTTTCTTAACCATGGTAGGCTGCCAATAATCGTTGCTAGACTGCAACCATTATATACAACCAAAAATGGAAGATAGTACACCTAGAACCACCTGCATCTCGATAAAGGTGAAAAAAAAGAAAGGAAAAAGAAAAGAAACGTGAGCAATAAAGTCGAATTAATCAACCTTTAAGCCATTTGAAAGGTAACGTATTCCCCTTCTTTCACCATAAGCATGCGTTATTACTATTACCTGAAAGGCACAGTTATGAGGAAATACTATGATGTAAACATTAAAGTATCGCATAAAGCTAAACGGACAAGCCTGTACTTGTTTACAGGGGATACTTGATTTCTGTGCCTCTGTGGATAACGAAGTTTATTTCCACGCATGAACCACTCTATTAAGATAACGTATTTTTCTCTGAGGAATTCAACCTAAACTCGACTCACGCATATTTAGTTAAAGGTAACTGGTTGTTCACTCCAAAGGGTTTACCGCCTTATCATGGCTGGGAGGTGTTCCTGGGTGTTGGGCTGCGATGTATAGCGAGGTGTTTCGTTCCCTCAGCAGGGCCACCAAGCTGAGAAGGAGTTCGGCGTTTCCATCAGGAGGCCTATCTAATAGTAATCCAATACCAGGATCCACCACCGTCCTGGTACCAAACTAATCATATGGTAGCAAATCTTTCTGATCCACAAGAGCGGCGAGTGCCCGTGATGGTGACGACAAGAGTCAGATTTTGGCTAGGCTGACCTCGGGACTCCAAAAAACCACAATGACCAAACTAGCAAAACTCTGAAGAAAAGAAAATCATACTGGGACCCGCACAACCATTGAAAACGGCTCATCCAGGTAAGTAACTGGTTGCACCTTCAGGAAAGCCTGCCCATAGCAAGTCCGTTTACAATGAAGAAATTAAATTTTCTCAATGGAAGATGGTTCAAACGTCTCTAACAAGAGTTTACCATTTGGTTAAGAGCAATTATTACATTCCTCCCAACGGTTTACCGCCTTATCGTAGCTAGGTGTTCCTAGGTGTTGGGCTGCGATGTACAGCAGGAGGATTCGTCCAGCAGGGTCTCCCAAGCTGAGGGGTCCAGCGTTCCAACAGGAAGCCTAGCTAAAAGTAAAGCAATACCGGGGTCCACCACAGTCGCATGGTGGCAAATCTCCCTCTGATCCACAAGGGCTGCAACTGCCTATCGTGGTGACGATCTGGGGCAGACTTTGGCCAGGTTGTCCTCGGGATTCCGGGGAATCACAATGACTTAACCATCAAATCTTCGAAAAGTAGTGATTATGCTAGGACCAGCACAACTAGTGAGGACGGGCTGTCCAAGTATCAAGTATCAAGTAATTATTACATTGTGAAAGCGAAAGCGATTTTTCTTCTCGCCGTCTGTTATAAAAAAGTGCCTACGAAACCGAATTACATCGACTAGCTCAAATCACTTTACATCGCACTACACTCCCAAGTACCATACGATTCCCCTGATTTTCCTAAGCACAGAGGAACATGTAACTTTGAAAAAACCGGCATTTTCAAAAAATGGTTAGGTGGCAATGTTCTAGTTATTTAGGAGTTTAGGCAGCGAAACCATACCGAATAAGTAGGTAGTGCACTGTTGTGGCCTTAGCTGCTCCAAAGGCAAAATGTTTAAACTATTTTATTTCTGAAAGGATTGAAAATGAACGTGTGCCATTCAACAACGAGCATTCATGGGTAAACTATTCCATATTTCCTGCCACTTCAGTAAAAATCGGCTAGTATAGTACGCCATAACGATAAGAATAGAGTGCAATCTCAGTTTAACTGGGTTCAATGCCGATTTGGGCTCCCCAGATCAATCCCGTTGACGGATAATTGCTGATGGCACTGATGGATAGAAAGTATCCGAGAAAGAGACGAAACGAAGGACTCACAGTGTGTAGTGGTAAACGCGTTAGCCTCCGGAAAGGGTAATAGCGGGTTCGATCCCCACCGCAGACACCTGCATGCAGGAGTTTTGCAAATATCTCAGCAACAAAGAATGGCACGGGCTGTCAGTTTCCCACCTCGTAACAATATGATGAAGCAAAAGAATACCTTGTGACCAAGATCTAGTAGACACTGTGCTAGAAAATAAATATGCGTCTCAACGCCGCCAGTATTTGGACAGAAGAAGTCTGAGACCAACCTGAAATACATTCATGAAATCATTCACAATGCTAAACCACTGATTCTTTCAAAATCGTTAAGCTCACGCTATGTTGAATAGCTCGTTGCCGTTGGAAGAAACAGTCATACCAAGTAAAATCCTCAGTGCCTCTAAGCCATTGTAGAACTGAAGTCGACAAACCCAAAGTCTTGCTGAAAGCATTGGCTTTACATTATTTGCAACAAGTAGTCCCTTTCACTGTTAAAATATACTGCTACTAGTTTAATAATGGAATGTATATTGATAAAGTTGGCAAGTGCTGTATTATAGAAATGTCCCCACTAGACATTCATTTCCTCACAACGGATTTCAGTAAAGCAGCGATATAAACAGTCAACGCCATTATAGCACAAAAAGGTAATGAAACCTAAACAGCGCCACAATTTACAGAAGAAAAAGAAAGAAAAAGAAAGGAAAGTGATCCCGAAGTGCGTTGCACCGGGCTTATTTAAGCAAAACAACCCGCCAAGCAACGTCATTTTCGCTGTTCGTAGCCGGAAATTCCCATGGAAAAGTCTCGTGCCATGGTCGATGGAACAAACAATTCTTGCGGCTGCGTTTTGTGAAGACCATTCCTCATTCAACGATGGTTTTCTGGATGAGAGCTCTCCGTACAGTTTGCCAGTTAGTGGTTTCAGTTTCCTAGAGATCCGAGACATCGTCAATATCACAATAGTGTCGATTGCTTGCATGATAGATCGTGAATTGTGTATTCCAAATCGATAAACGTTTCGTTCCTGTTTAAATGAGCGACTTTTGTTTGCATAAATTGCTATTCGAAGGCTACTCTCCCGTCTCGTTTTCAGTCGGTTCCTAAGAAGCGTTCACTATGAGGTAGTGCAGTAGTGCTATACTAGTAAGAACAGTGATAAGTGAGCCTTCGAAGTCTTTTAGTAAGCCTTTTTCTTTCCGTTTACGGCAACACTATTTCTATGGGATTGTCAGAACGAGAAATCTCAATACGCAAACCCCAACGGCTACTGGCAACAACATTACAGCGTTAAAACCGATGATATGCCGATCAATAGAGCTGTCGATTGTAGCTAAATCATGCCTTCAGTAGTGGATACGTTAACAGCTTTTAAGAATGAAGCAAGTTGATGTTATGGTCTGGGCCTTCTTCTATCAGTTACGAACATTCTTATTCGCATAATGACGCATTGCTTTGTTGCTATATACTAAAGGCTGACCTCTGAGGAAGTGCAGGCTTTCTCACTACCTCAATCGCTTTTGTTTAGTGGCTTTAATGTGGCTGATGCCAATACGAGTGTGATATTTTCAGAAACCACCGGATTGCTTCGATTCATGCCGACTGAGTCATTGGCTCACTTAGCCAGGGTACTCAGAGTCACTTCGGAGACATTCGATATTGCGGTAGAAGCAGCTGCGGACGTGCTCCTTCGTGGTGGGATTGTAGCACTTCCAACTGACACACTCTATGGTGTCTCTACACTTGTACAATACTCTGACAAGTTATACGCACTGAAGAAACGTACGGTAGGAAAGCCTCTTGGGTTGTTCCTTGCTGATCCGACCGAAATTAGCCAATGGGCTCGGCTTACTATTTCGTCACGTCTTGTTCGTCAGCTACTTCCTGGTCCAGTAACCCTGATTTTCAACCGATTACCCTCACTAACATTAAATTTCAATCCACAGGAGAATAGTGTTGGTATAAGAGTACCTGATTCGCCCTTAGTTCGTGCTGTTTCTGCGCGTCTCGGCCAACCTCTTGCTCAAACATCGGCAAATACCAGTGGATCTCTGAAGAATCCCACATGTGTTGAAGATTTTTCTAGTCTACTAGATCAAATAGATTTAGTGCTTGACGGAGGAGTTATCGGAAAATCAGGGAACGGAAACACGGGTGCGGAGGGAAGCACCGTTGTGGATCTGACTGAGGACAACTCTTATCGGATCGTTCGCGAAGGATGCGCTTTAAAACGAACGGAAGAAGTGCTCAGAGCAGCTGGAATTCGGCCTCTTTAAGTGTTACGTAGCCACAACGTTAGTCACGGGATCTACCTTGGATACATTACTCATTCTACTTTGTAGTATTGAAACATCCTGTCATAGTTTGATCCGCTGCGGTTTTTCAAACGACTGTTGACCAGAGCTTCCATGAAAATTGTTACTACATGATTTGTACTTGTTAACAAAGATAATTCCCATTAGAAATTCCAATCTTGCTTAGGCCGAACTCATTTTTCCGGTTTTTCCTCGGTTCTGATTTGTTATATACCATCGTCGCTCGCATTATTAAGTTGTCTTATGAATAAATGATTTTTTTAGGACATGAAACGGAAAGCCGAGCCAGATGCAGAGGAGATGGCATCATCGAAAGGTCCTTCAACTTCGAAAAAGCTTGCACCAGAGGCCGACAACGACTTCATAAATGAGACGGTTAGTGGCCGTAGCTGGTATTTTTCTTTTTCAAGTGTATTGTCCATGAAGTTACCCTGGATTTTGTTGGACATATAATGCTGTTACTGATTGGCACTTCATGAGAGACACTGCTTATCGAAGTGTTTTAAAAATGGCGAATGAAACCTAAACCCTCCTGTCTTTATAAGCGGGTATTTTGAGCTAAAGCTTTACCATTTAAGTCTTCCTCGTTTGGAACATTTCATTTATATGTGTATATAGTTTCCCCGCAGTTGATGTTGTGCCTCAGCTGTGCTTCAGGTTCTTCGGCACACCACCGTCGCTTTTTGAAATGATCACATATTTTTGCTCTGCTATTCAGAAAATTTCTTCCTTCTTGATACTTGAAAACAGTGCGGAGCAGTAAGGTATTTGCAGTCTTAAGTGCCATGTCAGTGAGGTTTCTTCTCTTTTTTTAAAACAACGTAAACACTAGATAAGGAAAAGAACAAACTAAGAACATAGGACGAACTAAAGACTTCAGGCACGCTAGGTCTCTTGTTGTGATCGTAGAGGTGTCTTTGAATGGACATGATCTTACAGCTGGGAACATAAGTAGATTTTACCTTTGCTTGGGTGGAATTGGTTATATTGGTGAATATTTGATCAGAACGATGATCAGCGCCGTTTTAGAGTCGTCGAGCACGCGGCAACTGGGCTTGTCTCGCCGAAAAGATGCGCCGGTCGACTCGACCGTCGCGTCGTGCGAAGAAGTCCGACCGCAGCCTACGCTCGACATTGCGTCTTTTCTCGATGACGTCATCTGATTCGGAAGCAGAAGACGACGTGTTCTCGCTGTGTGTTCGAGACTCACCTTTTTGCATTGACGTAGTGCTGCCGGAGGATCGGACGTCGCTTCGTCATATATCAGGATTTGACAATACCGGCAATGTGCGCATATGGCCGGGAGGTGAGGCGCTCGCCTATTACTTGTCGATTCGGCCTCCACTAGTTTCGGGCAAGGTGGTGCTGGAGCTAGGAGCAGGACTGGTTGGACTTCCGGGTTTTATTGCTGCCATATATGCAACACGGGTCAGGATTACGGATGGCAATGAGCACTCTGTAGCGTCTTTGAAAGACATCGCCAAGAGAAATCCGCTGCCAAATGTAGAGATCGAACTACTGAGGTGGGGAATCGGAAAGGACGAGAAAAAGTTTGATCTGATTCTTGCCGCCGATTGCGTATTTTTCCCTGAATATCATGAAGACTTGGTAAACACTTTTGATAGGTATCTTGCCCATTTGGGTATCATATATGTTTGCAGTCCAAAAAGAAAAGGTAGCTTGGATCGATTTATTGAATTTATTGAAGACGATAGCCGATTCACATACGAATTTATCTCTGAATTCGATTATATTATGGATGATTTATGTGTTCTCAAAGATGAGCAAAGAGATGCTGAATTACCGTATTTATTATCGCTCAAGCGTTGCCTACCGGATGACACGGCTAAGTAACAATTACTAGTAGTGCTGCCTTCTTTGGTTTTTTCTGTTATTGTTGACTCAATAAAGTATATTTTACGCGCGATACCTATCTTTTCGTGGAAAAAGACGTCAAAAACGCACCTCAATGTTTACTTTACCTTAGCGGTGTTTATTCAATTCCAGGAACTTCAGAAATCTATACAGGTTTCCGTTCTAAGGGCTGCTGATGGTATCACTGAAGAATTTCAAAAAAGTGGAGGTCAGTTTAGCACTGCACAATCTGAGACCTTGAAATTTGGTATGTTGAATTTGGGTTAGTTTGAAAGGTTTGGGAAACTTGTTTCATGTGCTTCATGTCAATTAAGAATACGCAGACGTTCCAGATGAAGTCTATTTCGATCCCGATGTTACTGCCCATGTAAGCGCCTTAGTATGGGACACTGTGAGTGGCGATTGGACATCAGATCTTTTAGCATTTTCGAGGTTAATCTTCATTTTTTTTCTCAGTCTAAATGCGTTACTTATACAGTAGTTTTCAGCTAGATTTACTACACGCTTAACCCAGATGGTAATGCAGTGATGTTGTAAATGTTGTGTAGTGTATTGCATTTCAGTCACGCTAGACGTGAAACTGTAAACGTATCCGATGTCGTGCTTCTCATGAGGAGAAATCGAAGCTTAGTCAGTTTCTAACAGCATTATAAAGAGAAAGATTTCAGATGTTGTGAATCTCATAACATACACAGTAGCATTTGTTTTTTATTCACATGTCCAAAAAGACCGTGAATATTTGGCTTACTTATGTAATGTATTGTGGGAGCTGGCTGATTGAGAATTCAGTTGTCTGTCCTTTTCGAACCAGTTTTCAAATTCCGATCTTAGTGTCGATATTTCCAGCTGGAAATGGTGTCCAAGACCGCCGACGTCGATCTCAGTGATTTCGTACGTCCTGTGACAAAACGGCGACGCTCAAAAAGTAAAGAGCCTTTACGAGGTGGACGTAGTGGCAAGACACGACGTGGAAGACCAAGTAATAACTTCTTATAATCTTTCGTTCGTACTTATTTCAAAGTGATTTAGGAATTGAACAAGATGCACTTATGGTCCGTAATTGTTCTGTTGACTTGGATTCCAGAGGCAGCACCAGCGATAATCCACAGGTTCTTTGCTGTGCTACCGAGGTCGCAGTAGATGCTGAAAAGGAAACTGAAACCAACCATGAAGTGAGTATATGGTCTGGATTTAGTGTTAGTGAATTAAGAAATCAGTAGTTTGATGATTTTATATGATAGAGTGGAAGGGTACCAACTTTGATGTATGGGTTATTCGTTCTTGCGAGTCGTCACATAGTCGTTCCGTTCTTGCAATTGTCATCGATGGTGCTGAAAAACATCTACAAGTACATGTACTAAGCAATATCTAGTGCAAGTATCTAGAAGTACATCTACCTACAGTAACGTGATCCACTGACTATTTCCAGCTGTTGAAACAGCTAGTCTCCGTGAACTAAAACCACGTTGTCGTGCGTGGTTGTCGTAAGATGGCATGTTTCCTCTTAGAAAAGATAAAGGGTAGAGCTCTCGGCGTCGATCAATGCCTGACGGTTGTGCCATGAATTCTACTACACTAAATATTATTAGAGGTGACCGAATGCATATCTGGGTTTGTTTATTGACTTGGAGTGGTCTATCGATAAATCTAGTCAGTGCTGCTATCCTTCTAGAAAGGTTGGTACCAATTTCCCGACTCTGGAGGGATGGAAGGGTTGGTGAACCTGGTTCGCCGGATTGAACCTATGTGTACTGCAAGGCGCCTCTAACCACTGCGGTATACGCATCCCTCTATTTCACCTTTGGGGTCAATATATCGTTCTTCTCTGAACATCAATTTTCCCAGTCACATGTTCGGCTTATTTGTCCCGTTTGCGACATGTCCATCTTCCATAGCAGGGGTTCTAGGTACACGTAGGTCTTGGGCTTTCTCTCATGACCTCATGAGGAAGTTATTGTGCAGTCTCTTATGTCATAGAATGAACTGTGAGGTATTTGGCCAGCATGTGTCACGTTATGCGGTTTGCAATAAAGCCAGTGCTACTATACCAGCATTTAATATTTTTGAGGAGTTGATGGGGATAGCTGAACATGTTCGTTCAAGCTCTTTGACTGCGACCAATTTCGCATGGAGGGCCCACCGAACCTACTAGTCTCATGGAATTGCGACTGGAGCCGCAATGAGATTATGATTTACTGCCCATGATCTCTCTGAAGAAGCGCGACACACCGACTTCCTGAGGTTATGGTTCTATTATTTGGTTCCCTTACAAATTTTTCGTGTCTCTTTAGCTACTACATGTCTGCCTGTACCTATGTTCTCATTTTCTTGGGTTTCTTTTGTTTTTCCTCACAACAGTTTACCGCCTCGTCGTGCCTGGGAAGCGTTCCTGGGTGTCGAGCCTCGCTGTACACCTGGGAGATTCATCGCGGGCCTCCCAGCCTGAGAAGGAGTCCGGAGTTTTGACCAGGAAGCTCAGCTAAGAGTAAACCAATACCAGGATCGACCACCGTCCTGATATCAAACTAGTCGCATGTTGGCAAATCTTCCTCTGATCCACAAGGGCGGCGACTGCCCGTGGTGGTGAAGACCTGGGGTAGACTTTGGCCAGGCTAACCGCGGGGCTCCAGGGAAACGCAACAACTGAACCAGCGAAACTCCGAAAAATGGAGAACATGCTGGGGACCGCACAGCCAGTGAGGACGGGCTATCCAAGTATCTAAGTATCCAAGTTTTTTTTTGTTTTCTGATCCAAGCCGTCTGTGTGGTGAAAAAAGCTTCCATTAACCCCACACATCGTTAATAGCTTTGTGCATCATTTTTACAATATTTCCGGTGTATTTCTGTTTTTTTTCTACGTGTTCGTATATCCATCAATTCCTTTCCGTTGTCTGAAAACAGATTTTTGCAAGTATGTCACACTGAGAACACTACGGCTTGGCCAGGCATAAAATCTGTGCTCGGCAAGCTATCGATTGACTACAAAATCTCGTAAAAGAGCTCTGTGCGGCGAAGTGATCCAGAAAAAAGCATACACATTGAAATCGAGATGTTCGGTCAAAAGCGTGCACCAGCGTTCATATCGGAGTGAATACGCCCGGTCCGTAAGGCTTTACATGAGGCAACGAAACTGTGTTGGAAAATATACAGTTGCATCTCCGCATACCGACCTCCAGCTCATGGTCCATGGTGGTCACTTTGGTGTATCAGTACTATCGGCAGTAACTGTGGATCGAACGTTGATTTTCTGCGTGCCATGTAGGATCCCTGCAGAACGGTGAGTAGTTGCTGCAATTGCGGCGATTTCTGCGATTGGTCGACTGACAGATAGAGAACGTTGAAACAGATTGAATCTCTTTTAGTACTAGTGCACGTCCGACATCCATTGGAGGCAAATATTTGTGAAAATTATGGCTGCTCTAAGTTTTTAGAGCATATGTCTCCACTCAAGTTGAGCATTATTAGTCGTGACCGGACCGCAGGTGTCTGCGGTGGGGAACGATCGCGCTATTGTCCTTTCCGGGGAGTAACGCATTCACCACCACATCATGCGGGTCCTTCGTTACGTCAGTCTCTCAGCTAGTTCCATCGATCTTTTGCCATCAGCAATTGTTATTTCAGCATTATAGTTCATATACACATAAATGTTCATATATATATGTATATATCCACCTGCATACGTACATATTCTATCCACCTGTATAAGAAGCAATATTGCTGTTGGCAAAAGATCGATAGAACTGGCTGAAAGACAGACGAAACGAAGGACCCGCGTGTTGTGGTGGTGAATGCGTTACTTCCCGGAAAGGACAATAACGAGTTCGTTCCCCACCGCAGACACTTGCGGTCCGGAGTTTTGCAGATATTTCAGCATTATAGTAGTTAGATTTCGCAGAATACCCTGTCGTTAAAAAGAATAGGCAGTAAAAAGAAAAGGTTAAGATATGTGTATATGTGAAAATACATGCATGTATATATGTATAATATATACATTTATATACATATATGTGATACATATGTATAATTTTTTAACAACTTTTTCTTCTTAGTTTTTATCCCACGATATTTTTTCTTCGCGTGGAATCCCATACAGTTGTAGAGAATCGCCTTGTAATAGATTCAGCGCATGATTTCCATCGACCCGAAATTCGTAATTTGCACGCTTTGTCAATCACTGATAAACTACAGTGAAAAAAGTGAATAGGAAATTACCTGTACTAGGGGATATATAGAGATTGGTTCGAATAACCCTAAAAGAAGCAGTTTTTATATCATTATGGTTGTTTAATATCGCCGATTATTCCAGTCTTATTTTGATCGTTGCTAAGCTTTTGACAATAGGATTGAGTTGCAGTAATAATTTAGACTCCCTTTTACGACGCTTCGATTCAAACTAACGATTGCCGAGATGCTAGTGAAAGTAAATCGCCTAGCCCTGATCTGTTTAACACGAGTAATAAAGGTTGGTTATTACGTTCCAATCTTTTTTTCTCGTTTGAATAAGTCGAACTTTTTACTTATTTTTAGACGATTTTGCATGGTTACTAAAAGTGATTTTAATTACGCCATTTGTTTGTTTTAGATGATGATGATTCTTTTGACGAGTTTTTCGAAATGGCGGATCGTAACACATCTAACGAAATCTCCGTTCTCGAAACACCTAACCAAAAACTCGATGATTCTGCGAAATCGGCGAAAGAGGGTTGGTCAACAAGTAGGTTGAACATTCTTTTTGGGATTTTGCACCTGCTTAGTAGGATTTCTTTAATTTAAATCTTCCCAAAGAAATAGTTCACTTAACGTTGCTTGAACCTAAAATTAATTGTCGTCCAATGAAATAGGAGAAAATAAGATTATACTGACTATCTGCAATTTATAATTTTCGTGACTTTTATGTGACTTATTTAAAATCTCTTTGTGACCGTGTCAAATTTCATAGTGCGTCTACGTCATTCATTTATGTGTTGAAAACCTAGTGTCGGGTCTGTAATTTTCTTTGGGAACCTCGTTTGATTAACGCTTCATTTTCACAACACTGTAGACTGAAATTATCTCATGCGGGCCGATCTGCCCCACTTCCACACTTACCAGTCACATGAGTTATATTTGTGCTATTTTGTTTGTACAAAGGACCTTTACTCAATCGGGGCTCATGCGGGTCATCGTGAGACGCTAGACCACCTTAGCGCTTTCATCTGCAATACTTGCGCTATCTTCTTACTAGCCTTCAAAGCAACAGTCTCTGTTGGTTGACTAACGAAGACACAAAAGGTTTTATGTTGTTAAGTGTAGAGAATAGCAGTTTATTTCCATCTGGTCTAGTTCGATAAGCTGTAGATTGTATCCAAAACTGTAGCAAAAGTTTACTGTGATGCAAAATAGATAATCGAAAACAAAATAGGTTAATATTAAGATATCAGTGCACGCCTGCAAATCTCTCGGTTCTCTACTTTAAATGTAGTATCGCTGCGTTGGGTTTCCAGGTTTTAATATTGGTTGGTAAATGTGTCTCACCAGAATAGTTCCTTTGGATTTTCGTGGCCTACAGAGTTGTGTTTCTCCCTTTATGTTTCATAGAAGTTTTCTTTCTAGGGTTCTCAGAGTTCTCATTTTTGGACTCTGCACTTCTGCCCAAAGCTACCCATATGCTTGAAAGTGGTAGGTTTCCGCATAACTTATATTGTAATCATTTATATGTTTTCAAGACCATTGCTTTTATTGTGGTATTTCTTTTTAAAGAAATGTGGAGTATTTTCTTTCCTCCTATTATTCGTCATTGAAGACCTCACACCAGTTTTAGCTTTATATGATTTCGTGATTTATGAGTTTGATTTAAGGAGTGTCACCATGGTGTAGCGGAAGATCTTGTCTATCAAGCAAGAAGCAGAAGCAGAGCTTCATGTCATCACCGAGGAAATCAGTTCTGTGTAAAACACCCAAGAAAAAGAAACTTCAACAGCAGCTGCCATCTCCAAATTTAACTTCTCATGAGAAAGCCAGTGCAGATCAACAGAAATTGTCGTTAGTAACCTCTCAAACGTTGTGGTGTTTTTCTCAAGGCATCTCCGAGAGGAATGAAGAAAGGTGAGTCTTATCTTTGTAGTTGCATTCTTTTTACAGTTAGGATTTAAGCTAGACAACCTTGTAGTAGGTCCATATGGTATCTAGCAAGAACTAGGTTTACAGATCTGACTTTATTTTTAGCTTAATTATTTTGCCAACACTTGAAATACTAAGGTGGTTTTTCACATATTTTCTCCATTCCATAACCTGGTAGAGGTGAAAAAAACTGGCTTGTCTTTACCTCCATACTCTCGCTCTACGGCCCAGGTACAGAATTATGTGGAAAAGTGGAAAGAAAACCTGGAAAAGATGCCAGTAAAATTGTACTTTCAATGGTTTTTTCCGACATAGTCGATAAAATGTTGTTAGATTCCAGGTGTCCAATGCGCCAGCCAGTTCCACCAGATTGTACCAATTCAGATGAAGAGTTCTTTGATCTTTAGCTTTGTGCTGTTAAATGCATAAGTATAGCTTTTGTTTAAGTCAAACTCATATTCGATTCAGGTTATCTCTCATGCTTCGCAACTGGTTTTCTTTTTATCGTATTTCTCGTTTTTTCTTTTCCAGTAGTGTAAAGTTGATGTAATTTAATTCTAAATAAATCTCCTTATCTTAATACGAACTGGCGATCTTTGTTTTGTAAACCAGGAAAGGTATTGTGTGCAGTGATTCTCAGCACTTCCATAAACATGGTTTCTCGTATGTGGTGTCTACTTTCATTGGTATCATGATTAACGTTTCGGAAGACTATGTGGATGTTCTGTGCTCGAGTCCCTTGTAATCTACTTTTAGTTGATAGTTATGACCGTTCTAGTTATGTCAAAGGTATTTGAAAGGTATAGAAAAATGGTGAGTTTGGTTGAACTGTACATCGATTATTTTTTTAGTCACTAGCGTACGTTTATTCTGAGATACGAGGAGCGAGTAATTTTTCAGGCATTCTTTAGCTGGTGAACACCAAATGTCGGATTGCCAAGCTTTAACGGTCGGTAAGGAATCACACGAAGAGTGCGTGGTATGTGGGTGACTCACTTTTGTTTTCCAGGTAACGAATAAATCAGTAGTTGGATGTGTATTCAGAATGGATCGAGTAGAGTAGATGAAGTAGAGGCGGAAGTCAGGGAGGCTGAGAAGATATTGAATGCTTTTTTGTGTTATGGTCTGTTTGCTCGCGAGGTGGCGTGTAGGAACATGATGTCCTTCAAGTAAGGTTCCTCTTTTAAAACGTACTTGATGTTAGCTGGCGTCACGGGTTCTCTTTCTGGGTGCTTCGCTTAAATTGGAAATGATTTTTTGTTTTCTGAAAGATTCTGTCAACTTAAATCAGAAAGTGAATGGGAAGAAAGTGACAAAAACAGAAATCGGAACATATAGAAGGAGAAATGAAATATATCTAGGGGAATGACAAGGAGGAACATATAAAAAGAGGGACGAGAAGTGGTGTGTGACTAATGAAGAAATATTCTAGAAACAACATCATTCATGTCTTTCGGAAACGTGGCCATGAGCTGGGGTGAACTTTCAAGCATTTAACCGTCGTGTTGTTTCGGCTTTATTTGTAGACGGGCTTTCTTTTCGGATATTCCACAGAAATTCGAAAACGTGCTTATTGTTATAATTTTTCCATAATCATCCAAGCATAAGTGGCGATGGCAGTTCCGTAATGTAGACCGTACAGCTTGTGTATTATTTCGAATGGAGACAGTCTGCGAACGATGTACTACTTCAGGAGATAATCTTGTATGACTAATACTTGGTATGCGATGAAACGAGAACTTTTTAGGGACTAAACTATCCAATCTTATTAATGGATATATACAGCACGACGACGTTATGAAAGGTCGTCTTGTCAGTGCAAGATACTTCCGTATAGTCTGTAGTACTTCATTGAGAAAATCTCAGCTATATCTCGTAGTGTCTCATACATGGGCCACGTTCCAAATTTTCCTGGTTAATTGATATCTCCATCTCAGACTATTTTGTTACAGACAGCTGTCTTCTCGCCACAAAGATATCGTTCTCAAATCCCACAGTGATCACATACGCCGCGTACTCAAATGTGTTGATAACAATCAGGAGTAAGACTATGTGGTTTTCTTCCTAACTAGTCGAATTTCTAGCATATTTAGAGTTTTGAAGAAAATTATTATGTATGGATTGAACGTATTCGGGGAAGATTTCGCTACGAAGACAAGAAAAATACGGCAGAAACGGTGAGAGCAAGGGCTTCTTCCGGTTTCCTTACTTTTACCATGTTTAATGCTCCCTAACTAACTACTTTTTAGACGTCCTGATTCCCATTATATGTCTAAAGTCTTAAGTACTTTGCGGCAGATCGTTAGAGAATGGAGTTCACAAGGTTTGTTACAAATTTACAGTCTTTCCATGTAATCAGTTCATCTCTCTATTCAGGAAAAGCTGAGAGAGATGCCACTTTTACTCCTGTCCTCGACGTTGTGCGCCAATGGTATCCTTCTGTTAGTGCACGAGGATCGGTGAAAATAATGGTACCAGGATCTGGTCTAGGTTTGTGATAGCGCTTCAGTTTTTCTTGTGTCTGCATGTTTTTTTTGAATAGCTTCTAGACTTATTAGATTAGTTTTGTTACTAAGTTATACGGATTATCGTGATAGTTGTGCGTACTTAGATGGAAAATTTTAACTTTACCCGACCCATAATCGCTCATACTGTGTGTATCCTAACACTTGTGGCATTCAATTCGTTTCTCTCCGGATTCGTCGTTCATAACTGTCTTCCAACTTTTCCCTTCTTGTTTCAACTACTGCTTGAGGATTTCTTCTTCCTTATGATTGTCGTAGAATTCTGGTCAAGTCAATTCTGTTTGCAGTCTTAGAAATAGCTGGTTAAAGCGTTCACTCCGTGGATTGGAGAAAAGCGTTGGGGCGGGGATCGAACTAACGCCTTTTGCTTCCTGATCGACGGCACCACTAGCCACTGTGCTATCTGTTCCAAACGAATATTTAATGGATTCTTATTAGAGTTGGGCTATACTAAACAAAAGGCAGCGTGTAGAACAGTGGTTAAAGGTGCCACACTTAGTCTTTGGTTAGACCACGCTCGCCGGATTCACCAAACTTTCCATCCTTCTGACCTCGTGAAATTGTTACTGTGCTCGTCTGGAAAGATAGCAACACTGACTTTATACATCGGTAGACCACCTTAAGTCATTTTATAGCCAAACGTGTACTCAAGCACCTCTAACGAAGGTTCATGAAGTCGAATGCATAAGGCATTCCGCAGGAACGACAGATCAACACTTTGAGCTTCCTTTCATAGTAAGCCAAGGAATTGAATTTGAATGGATGCAAAGCTAAAAATATAAATGTTAGGAGAACTGGCATGGTTGTTGTCTAGGATTTCCATGTGGTTAGTACTAAAGAATCTGTTGCATTTTCGATATAATGAACAGAAGCCTCGACTTTAGTGTTATTGTTATATGCCCTCCTTTTTTTATCCTTTTATGTTGTAGATGTGTTGATGCTTTGAATTCTGTGCAGTGGCTTAAGTTGTAGTTGTGAGTGTCTGTGCTTTTCTTCGCAAATGGGAGATCACCAATTTACCGAAATCTTAATAGGGTATTTGGTTAACGTATAGGTGAATATTGATATTAGTTGTTGTGTACACAGCAGCGACGCAGGTTTCGCTGCACTAGGTACCGTCAATGTTCTGGTTTGCGCATAATTAGATTTAGAGAACAAGAAGTGTATTATTGATATAATATATTTCCTCATAAGTTCTGTAGGTATGACTGAGTGGAAGTCACTGCTAATAGTCTAGATTCCTTGAATTTTGGTAAAGAAAAGTTGAAGTAGATCGGAACTGACTTCGTATTGTTTTTGGCATGATTATCCGCATTTCTTGTTCATTTTCATACCGGTTTATTCTTTTCTTATTATCGCTTCAGGTCGGTTAGCGTTTGATCTAGCAAAGGAAGGTTTTAGAGTGGAAGGTAATGAATTTAGTATGGTCATGTTGATGACGTCGTCCTTTCTTCTGAATGCGTGTTATGAGGTATATTTAAAGTTAATCTGCCTATTTTCAACATGTTTTAATGATTATCAAAGGAAAATGAGTATACTATTTACCCGTACGTCTTGGATAAAAGCAACAGTTGGTCATATGGGGATCAAACACGACCTGTTCATTTCCCTGACATTGGAAAGTCGAAAACAGAGGTGGTTTTCTTCGTTAGTGGTTTGATTTGGTGTTGATAAATAAGCCACATAGCTATATCTTCAGGCTCCTTCAAACTTCTGTATGATTGCTGGTGATTTCTTAGAAGTAATGCTGTCAAGAACATGTGATTTCGATTGTGTGGTTACAGCATGGTTTATTGACACTGCAAAGAATATCATTGATTACATAGGTAGGCCATTCCGAAATCTTGTGCTAGGAATGATGTATATTAAATTAGCTGTTACACTAAGGTCAATTTTATAACTGGCGTTACTGTCTATGTGTAGGTACTTCCATACTTTTCTCTCTTCTTATTTGCATTGTTCTAGAAACCATCTATCGGATTCTCAAGGCAGGTGGCTTATGGGTAAATGTTGGCCCGCTCACATACCATTATGAAGACATGCTTGATGAGGTAAGTCTCGATATTTTCTTATTTATGTCCGTAGATGTCATAGTTAGCAACACCATTATGGAATGTAATTCTTCGAATTCAAGGAAACTCACCAGGTGTATATTTGAGTGCTGTATCTTATATGTACTTTGAGGCGCGTGTGGCGCAGTAGTCGGAGGCGCCCTGCAACACACACGTGGAATCGATCACTGCGACTATGGCCCACCAAGCCTTCTATCCCTCTGCGGTCGGCAAATTGGTACCAGACTTGTCTGGGAGGATATAGCAGCACTGGCTCGATACATTGGTAGGCCATGGCGAGTCATTGTAAAGGCGAGATATGCATTCAATCACCTCAAAGCGATGCTTAATGAAGTCGAATGCATGGCGTATCCCTCAGAGATTGATCAACGCCTAGAGCTTTATCCTTTTATTCTTTTATCTTAAATGTACAATCGGTTTACATTGTATATATCAAGTCTAGGAAGGTATATTACTAAGCAAGGTCTGTGTTTGCGTTGCGGCTATGCAAGGCTCGGAATTGGACAGTTGGATTTCTATGTGTGTATACATGTAAACAGTGGGATAATAATGGAATCAGTTGGCATAAACGAAGAGTAAATCAAGGATTAATACCAGTGATAGGGTATCTGTTATATTGGATTGACTAAGTAGAATGACCAACAGATAGAAATAAATTCAACCAAGAAGTTAATGGACGTCTGGTAGAGCAATAAGAGTTGAATAGGAGCGGCTGAAGGAATATTTGATATAACCCTAAAAGCAAGTGCTACTGAATTGGGCGTAGCTGTTTTCTAGTTAGTGTTTTTGTAAGATTGTAAATATCAACACTCAAAGGGATTACAGAACTGCTTTTAATCGTTGGTTTTTGCAATCATTGCAACTACTAACGTGCAAAGACCGAAACAGTTAGATGAGATGGCTGTTAAGAGGTTAGTTTACAAATAGAGCAAAAAAAGTCCACTTGGAGGCAAGGATAATTCCGTATAACTTGATGAGCCTCTGTTCTACATGCTTTTGCTGGGTACAACTTACGGCCTTCGTGATCTCTTCTGTCGTTCTTTCAGTCTATCTGGACTCATCCATTTCCTTTAACACCTTGGCTGTTACATTTGTTTTCCCATAGAAAGGTGTTCTGTGAGGAATATTCGCAAATTAAATACCTGTAAATTAAAGCTGACTAGTTCAGTGTTGAGGTGCTACTTATAGGTAAACGGCTTAGCTGCATGAAAGTTTATACATGTCAGTTCAACTTCAGCAGTAAGTGTTATTTCCCAACATGACGTGTTTATTACTAGTTCAACCGATTTGCCACTAAGTCTGTAAGTTGATTTGTTTGCTAACAGTTTCGTTGTTGTTTTCTGAATCATCTTATCGATCTACATTGAGAAGCACTTCGGCTAGCTTGACAGGGATGCTTTCATATGTTCTCATATGCTAGAACGAGTTCACACCACTATACTACCTCCTTTGTTTCCTACGCGTCCTACACAAGCAACTAGAGTATCTGACATCTGCACTGTTCCTACTAGTATACAGACTATTTTTCCCGACGCCGACTAAGCACCAGTTTACACATTAGCTGCTAGATCGATGTTGTAAGATACAGTATTCTCGTGAACGGCTTTAACTTGAAAATTCATTGGTTATTCAGTATAAATGTACTAGTAATTTAACTTCGGCGTTCGTTTTTCCACCGCATGCAGTATGACCCATATGTGGCACATGCAGGTAATTCTGCTCTTCCAACAGTTAGATTTCTTGTGCTTTTTCTCTACATCATGTGTTTGTCATTTTTCTGTTACTATATATTTTCCATGTTCCATCTTCATGTATTTTTTCTATTCTTCTATGTATTTTCTCTTTTTTTGGAACATTTCCAAATTTTGTGTGTGCTAGTGGGAGTATACGTAATTCATGTCTAGATATCTTCACATTCACGATAATCACCATGAAGGGTTGTAAAGGAAGACAAATGTCTTGTTTGATTGGTGAGCTAGAACGAGATTATCGCAGGAACTTAACCGACAAACGTTTCGGCCCCTTTGCAATCGTCAGAGCTGGAATTATTCGAATTGATAGTCTGCAGTCGTTTGTTCTTCGACGTGGGTCTTCGTAGTCGCAATGAGTTGGTTAGTACTATTACTACTCAGATCGTCGTTAGTACTCGTAGTTATGCTACATTTATCTTAGCACTTTCTACAAGTTGCTTCTTAGCGAACTCGTGCACGTGCTCAGTGATTGACCTGAAAGGGATTCCGTAACTTCTTTGTAACATTTGCTCTTCTTTGTCCGACAGTTCGGGCACCGAATGAGCAACTGTGAGCTGCAGGCGCTTTCAAACATCTGCTGTACCAGTAATCTTCTTCTGGAAGCTACTGCATCGCTGTTACATGTACTTTTTTTGCAAGCTGTAGCTTTCACGAACGTTCTGTGCAAGTAGCTCTATGGGATTATATACTAACTGAAAAATTTTCTAGGATTTGCTTTTGAGCATTTCAGCGTTCTCTAGTTTCTTCTATAAAACTCCGCCCGTTACAAAGGAAACATAAGAACATGAGTCACTCCAGTTAGGTTTTTCTCGTTTTTGCCCAGTTATTTCGCTGAACTAGTATTTCTTAGCGTTCCAGATATCGTCACACTGTTAATGTTGTGTCGCTGTTATTACTACATAACGATATAACCCCAGATTGAGACTGTGTTCTATGGTAGCGTCAAAAAATCCCGCGTGGCAAATTCGTGCAAAGTCGAACATTCTGTTTCGAGCTAGCAATTATTCTGTGCGGAGGAGTGACTCCAAAAACAGTATTCCACTGGTGAGCTGATACATTACGCACTGACATCAAGCTAAGACGAAGTCGAAGCCTTCCAAATGGACTTAGTGAACTTCTACATACAAACCTTAAAAACCTTGGATATTTTAACGCCGAGATTGGGCCCAGAAGAGCGTTTGAAGAATGTCATATCGGGATCGAAAGTTGGAATTGAACCGAGCTACCGGCGCGGCCACGTTTCAAACCATCGATGCTTCAAACGTTGACCGAGCTGGGCTACGAAACTCTGCTTTATCTACCATACTCGACAGACCTCTCGCCTTCGGGTTACCACTCCTGTAGCATCTTGATAACTTCCAGAACGAGAAATGCTAAACAAGGTCGATACCGAGACTGCCTTCAACAACAGCATCTCTTCCAAAAGATTGTAATTTTGTGCAGCCTGTTTCTTGTTTGCAAAAATGTGTGGATTTTAATGGTTTTTACTTCGTTTAATAAAACTTGTTCTGAGGTGGGATATAGCATTTTAAAAGTACAGGTTGAAATGCGACATTAATTCCCGAATAACTGATCATTTTTGTCAAGAGTATTTGTGCCTCAAGAACCTTATGTGGTAGAGGTTGCATATTATAATTATCGTAAATTCTATATGAAAGGTATGATTTATGAAAGTTCTAGATTGTGAGATAAAGCATTGCTCACGACGGTGTTGGAAACCTGTGATGTTCGCACTAATACGTTTGCACGATGTGGAAGCAGTTTCGACGGCCGCATGCTTTAATGTATTTGCCATAATATCCCTAGATTTTCCTGACTGATAATGTGTAGAAGGTGGCTTTTATCGATCGATATGCATTATATCTATGGTGAAGAAGCTATCTTTGAGTATAAAAGTATATAAGAAAAGCTGTGCGGTCAAAATAACGGTTGGAAATGTATGATATACCATTCATTACATTACGTTATGTTCCAGATGTCAATCGAGTTGCCGTACGAGGAAGTGATGAGGATTGTTCGGCTGACAGGTTTCCAAATCGAAAAAGAAGAACGCATCGTCACTTACTATACTAGGAACCATATGTCTATGCTACAAAACCAGTATACGTGTGCGTTTTTTGTAGCAGTGAAACCCTTGGATGGTTAAGTCCTCTTGTTAACACATGTTTTGATTCTGTATATATTTCCACGCTGTGATCCACTTCCAGCAGTTGTGTAATTAGGTTATGGAAATTCAATATGTAGGTTGATAAAGCTTTCTCTGATTTGGCATTGAGTTTATAATGAAGGTTCGCGATAACCTTTCTCTACAGTCCGGGTTCTTATTTATTTGTTATGCATTATTTTGTAGTATTATTAAAGGCCTTCTGTTCTTCGAAACCGGATCGGCAGCAGTTCTTTCTCTTGGTGAATTTTTGTGGGCAAAGTGACGAGCCGAGCTTGTACGACCATACGTAGTGATAGTCCCGTTAAGCGCTCTGTTTTAACGGAACTTGTAGATTAACTGGCATTTTACTAACGGGCTACGATCCTCAAGAGCATGTCATTGTTCCATACCATCGAGTTATTGCCGGGTGTCGCCAAACACGGCGACTTTTTAAGCTCATGGAGCTGGTGCAAATTCTTAACGAGTTCGTTTCATTTTTTGTCTCACTTTTCTCTGTTCTTTTGTGATATCCACGTGATCATAAGTTTAATGTCTCTCTAGGTATAAATAAATTGGATGATAAAGAAAAGATAGCGGAGAAAGAGGCATGGATGAAAGAGAACTGCGAAGCAGAAGGAAATGAAAGGAAAGGAGAGTTTATTGAAGATGGTCGCTTGTGGCCTTACGTGGTGCCTATAAATGCATTCGCTGAGCACATATTCGTAGAGTACACTGACAAATTAACAGAAGGAGTTGTGGTGGGTTACTTTCTACTGCCGGTCTTTTTTTTTGTGGGGATTTCTGGATACCTGACTTAAACCCGATGAAAGATAAAGTGTTCGGCATTGATGAGTTCCTCAGGAACACTTCAACGCATTCAACTTCATCAGACATCATAGAGCTGATTGAATGCATATCTAGTCTATACAGTGCTTGTGGTGTCTACCGATATGTCAACTTAGTACTTTTATATTCAAGAAAAGTGTGGTGTCAATTCGCCGGCACCAGAAGGATGGAGGGTTTGTTGACCAGGATGCAGACCTTACATGTCGGATCCATGATCGATCAATTGTGTATTGTAGTATATTTCTGTAGCTACACACGCAACTACGGCCGATATGAACACAGAAACATTTCGAATTTGAGCATTAGTATCTATAATGCCAACTCGGACACTCCATTTATTTATGTTTCAGGTCGAGTATGTGAACAGAGACTATGATGATTTTATGCATGGCAATATGAAAACCATATGGTTGGCGAAGATTGTGAAGGTTAGATATTTATGTAAACAAAGTTTATAAATAGCTAAAAAAGCCCACAAATTTTGTAACGTTTCACAGTTACATTGTAGTCCGATAGGTCGTTGTCAGAGAACAACTGTAATACCGAATTTCTTTGGGCCTGATGAAGTTTTACTATTGTTACCCGGACTAATGTGCATCACATAGGTAATTTCGATCGAAATGTTGGCAGATTTCGCCTTTTTCGAAGTTTAGAAGAGCTAGTAATTTGTAATGATGCTGAGATATTTGCAAAACTCCGGACCGCAGGTGTCTGTGGTGGGGAACGAACACGCCATTGTTCTTTCCGGGGAGTAGCGTGTTCACCACCACACCATGCGGGTTCTTCGTTTCGCCTGTCTCTCAGCTAGCTCTATCGATCTTTTGCCATCAGCAATCACCCATCAGCGGGATTGATCTGGAGGGCCCAAATCGGCATTGAATCCAGTTAAGCTGAGGCTGCAGTTATAATCACAATTTTGACTTATTATTTACTGCCTACTCTTTTTAACGGCAGGGTATATATTGCGAAATATAACTTCTAAAGCTATTATTTGATCGGAAATTCTGTCAGATTCGCGTGCCCTGAAGTTGGATTAAGGTGTTCCGTTTAATGAAATATTCATCGTACTTACTATCCCTTCGGCATGTGAGCCGTGTTTCTTTTCCGACCTTCCAGCACCACCTAGCAAAACCTTATACTTTTGTCTTTGTTGACTATCAGAATTTCCGCAAGGGGTTTATATGGTGATATCTGCGGAAAGGTTCTAGAGTTGTTAGCGGAGCCAGTTACAGGTCAATGGGAAGCAAGGTGAGCAAATGTCGAAACACAGAACGTTTCACGATGAGAATCCTTCAAATATAAATTCATTACTTAAATTACGGTACTAGAAAACAGAATAAATCTTCACTTCAAAGAGTGAGCTTTCGTTAATAACATGAATTTCCATATCGCGGGATACCGACTTCTGCTACGCTGGGTTGGCGCTAAAGATGAAGGCGATGAACGGTTTGACTTTTGGGCTAATATCGGTTCCAGAATATTCCACTCTGTCGGATAGTGAGTTTGTTTGTGTTGTTATGTGGGAATCTCATCGTGTAAATTTTTTTAGTGGACTATGATTTTTACTCACCATAATTTCAATTTTGCAATTTTTTCTGTTTACGAGCTATTGCAAATCGGTTTGAAAATAACAATGTACAAGAAATGAAAAGTGGTTGACCTTGCATCTTTTCTTAGGTTTTCAAACATATTTGGTCATTTAGAGTCGTAGTACCAGTTCACTGAAATACAGTGCAAACTATTAAGACTTTCTAGTGGTTCGAGCGTTCAATTGAATAAGCTTACATATGTGTACATTCCTCCGCGGTTCATTGCTGATCGCTGGAAGGAAAATGGTGTGGACTCAATAGCGAAGAACATTCAATCGACAATGATGCCACTGCAACATGTACGAACGCTGCGAAAGCGTTTTGAGGAAGACCGAAGACGTGTTCTCACGGAATCTGTTTTTAAAGTTAGCATACAACCATTTTCATACTACAGAAGATTTTTATTTAAACATTGATTTTATTTGGCTCTAGAACTAGGGTATGTATTTCCAAACCATGTTGACAGGTGAATGATCTGTTGGAATTGTTGGACTACAATAACTCGACACGCGTTCGTCCTGCACGTGTCAAAAAGGTGGTCGGACGAAGAATTTGTGTTCATGTGAGAGAGATTGACTTTGATGGCGAAGCAGATGATGAGGATCGTCAGGTTGTTAACGTGGCCATTCATATTTCTCCAAACATTACTAATTTAATATTCCTTACATAAATTACATCGTGTTTTAGTTTGGTGAGGACTCTGAGTTCTGGGTAGACCAGTCAAGCTTCTATGTATTTCATGTTGGATGGGCATGTTACAATAACTACGGCTTGGGTTCCACTAAAGAATACAAGAAGCATGCCCAAAGGATAGCCGATGCCTTAAGCAAGGTGAGTTGGACAAAGAGTTTGTAATAATTCATTCGACTGAATAAGCTGGAATTGACAGCATAGTTGCCTCTACCGCTGAGAATGTATTTAGCTTTCCTCCAATCTTGTAGCACGGAAGATGTTTCCTTTTCCTTTTTTTCCTTTGGGATATTCTTCCCCATTGAACTCTGACTTAATTTAACATACCTGGATACTTGGATGGCCCGTCTCCACTGGTTGTGCGGGCCCCAGCATAATTTCCGTTTTTTCGGAATTTTGCTGGTTTAGCTATTGCGGTCCCTAAAGTCCCGAGGTCAATCTGGCCAAAGTCTGCACCAGGTCGTCACCACCACAGGCAGCCGTCGTCTTTGTGGATCAGAGGGAGAATTGCCACCATGTGACTAGTCTAACAGCAGGGCGGTGGTGGATCATGGCTTTGGTTTATTCTTAAAATCCTGTTGGAAACACCAGACTCCTTTCAAAGCTTGGGAGACGTTGATAGCCCGACCCCCAGGAACACCTCCCACCCACGACGAAGGGGTAAACCGTTGGGAGGAATTTGACACAGAAATAAAATAAAGTGGAAGCACCTCATTCGACTCATTGTTTTTCAACCGTCATATGCTTGTGCATGTGTGGGTTCTTCCACTCTCTGATGTGCTTTCTTCTCTTCTCCACGTTAGTATGGTGAATACTGGTGGAAGGTTTCTTTTTCGATTTATCCAGGAAGCTGTGGTAGACTATTTCCAAATTCAATGTTTTTCTTCAATAAGCAGACAGGAGGTTGTTATTATAGAATTTATTATGATACAATAGTTGACATTTCGGCGGTTTCGCCTTCTTCAGAGCCTGGAAAGGTCAAATTAAGTTGCGATCTACTCAGCCAAACACTTTTATAACCTTAGCAGATAAAACTTAACAAATAAATTTGTATTCGTATAAGGAACAGTTTCATTTAAACACCTACCGTTTATTTGTTGTATTTAAGTTAGGTGATGGATAGCAGCCACACAGAGTAATACATGGGCGATAACTGTGTCTGTGTCAGGTCATTGGATTAGTCTGAGGTATGGCGCCAGGTCACGCGTGATGACAAAGTAGTCCTCCTTACGGTTCATTTTTGAATTTTTCGACTCGATCCAAAGCGCTTCAAGAGTTTTACGCGTTGATGTTTTCGATTTGTGCGTGAGGATAGTGACTCCTACTTCAAAATCTTCTCCGTTGTGTTTCTGCATCCTATGCTCGCCTAGTGGATCTTCGCAGTCGATCTTGGAGCTCGTGCAGGCTGCACGCGATCCTACACGAGGTTTCTTTAGAAATTGGTCGCGCTGGTGAGAAACTTGGACCAAATTTTAATAGCGAGCACGCGTCATCAGGCAGAGTTGTGCCACCTAACATGGTGACCCTTGACTTTTCAGGCACGTTATCGACCACATTTTTAGTGCTGGCGCTTTCGTAAATGATTTTGCTTTGTTTAATTGAACCTGCTTTTTGCGAATGATCTAGTAAATTTTAAAACTTTCTACCTAAGGTTACTTTAGCATTTGACCTAATAGAATCGCAAATCAAAATTGACCCACCCACTATTCTCCTCCAAAGAGAATCCTTCAAGTACTGAACACAGTAAGATTCCTTCGAGGTGCACTTCTTCAGTTGCGCCGCGTACATGGTGTCCTGTTTACATCGAAGAGAAGCGTGTAGTAGTCGCGTTTCGATGTCCAGTACTAGTTGACTGTCCTTCGGTAGGCCGCATACATCGTGTAGTCGTTTTCGTTTCATGAAGTTCGGCACGACTCGATGTTTCAGGCAGCGGAGGAGAAAGAGTGTCGTTTGTCTAGCTAAGACAATTTTTTGTGTTAGTGACAGGACTTCTCTTACAAGTCGACAATATTCTGCTGGCAATTCACTTAGGATGCAGGAACACAACGGAGAAGATTTCGAAGTAGGAGTCACTATCCTCACCCACGGATCGAAAACATCAGCGCGTAAATTTCTTGAAGCGTTTTGGATCAATGCCAAAAATTCAAAAATGAACGGCAAGGTGGAGTGTCTTGTCATCACGCGTAACCTGGCGCCATACCTCAGGCTAATCCAATGACATGACACAGACACAGTTACCGCCCATGTATTACTCTGTGCGGCTGCTATCCATCAACTAACTTAAATACTTACAACAAATAAACGGTAGGTGTTTAAATGAAGCTGTTTCTTTTGCGAATAAAAAATTTATTTCCAAGTCCAACTTTCTATTAACCTCGGCATTGATTGAATATATCTTTCTACTTCTGTTCAGCAAACACGAGGTGCTATTTTATTTCTTTATTTACGCACAAGCTGACGTTTCGGCGGATTTCGCCTTCCTCAAAGCCTGGAAGGGTCAACTTGACAGCAATCCATTCGGCCAAACACCTCCATAACCAAACAGAGAAAACGCTAAACCAAGATTTCAATCACATTTAGCATAACTCTGCACACTCACCGCTTTCTATGAGTTTTCCACCGAGTATGTCACGTGAGGACCGACGGCACCGAATTCACATGGAAGCGTAATGTGCTCCTCCCATCAGAATAACAGGTTTATATACTGTCCAATATCGCTCGTGATAACGAGCATTCCTCCCTGCGGTTCATTTTAGGATTCTTGGAATTAATCCAGAATGCCTCTAGAGTTTTGCGCGCTTGTGTTCTCGATTTCTGCGCGAGGATCGTAACCCTTACTTCAAAATCTTCTCCGTTATGTTTCTGCGTGCTATGCGTACCTAGTGGAGTACTTGGCTTACGTTTGCCGACTAGGTGTTCTTTTATACGTACGCAGAGTGGTCTACCCGTTTCGCCAACATATTCGTCCCCGCACGCAGAGATCAGATAGACTGTACCCGAACTCATGCAGTCACCGTCTCTACCATTGGGACAAATTATGCAATTTTGCGTTGCACATAGACGGTCGTATAGACGGTTACGAACTAGCTGGCGCCTTAGATTACTTGGTGGTATTTCTAGCATCATTACCGAATTCTCTAGACTGGCCCTTCTTAAACAGCGTTTTATAGCTGCACTTACTTCATTTGAAATGAAAAGCAGTATAAACGGGACTTTTCTATCGCTAAAGTTGTCGTTTGGGGGCCTAGGATTTCCCCTACACCTATTCCGAGCTACAGTTTCGTAGCCATTAGAAATGACTATTTGCCGTGCCAAGTTCAGGGACTCCTCTCTCTGCTGTCTTCCTGTGCACACGCTGGTAGCTGTTCGATACATGTTTCTCACAAGCGCCCTTTTCGTGTGAGAGGGATGAGAGGAGTGGTAATGAACTAAGATGTTTTTAATACTCGGCTTTCGATACCATTTCATAATATAGCCGTTTTCTGATAGGTTAATTTGCACGTTCAGAGATGGAAGCCAGTCTTCTTTTGGTTCCTCTCGGATGAATTTAATATACTCTGACTGTGTGTTCAACAACTCGAAACATCAGTCAATTTCTTTTTGTGTTGAACAAATGACCAAGCAGTCATCTATATATCTAGAGTAGAGTAACGGACCGAGGTAGATTACTGGAGCTTCCACCTTAGACATGAATGCAATGGCAAGGCTTGGTGCCAGTCGTTGTCTCATTGTCAACCCTTTCATTTGTGCGTAATACCTTCCGAACCATCTGGGATTGAGCAATTTAGGCATTCCTTTAACAGTGTCGTCAACTGCTGAATCGAGAAGCCATACATGTTTAGTGCTCTTCTGTGTTATATAAGGAGCTTGCGGATGGCTTGCATAGCGGAGTCATTCGACACGTTCGTATACAGGGCAGTGACGTCGAAGGACTCCACCACGTACGCACTGTTGAGTCGCGCGTTACGTAGACGATCCAGAAACATTTGGGCGTTCGTTAGATGAGCTGGAATGTACTTCAACAACTGAGTAAGTATTAGGGTTATTAACCACGTTATCCTATCCGTTGGCCCGTCTTCGCAGCTAATGATAGGTCTAACCTTAAATAGCGAAAACCTTCCTTTGACCCTTCCAGGCTCTGAGGAAGGCGAAATCCGTCGAAACGTCATCTTGTGCGTAAATAAAGAAATAATATAGCACCTCGTGTTTGCTGAACACAAGTAGAAAGATAACTATTTTTTATTTGAATAAATTCTAATTTCTATTTTCTAATATTCTAATTCTAATAAATTCTATAATAACAGCCTCGTGTTTGCTTGTTGAAGAAAAACATCGAATTATCAGTCAATGCCGAAGTTAACAGAAAGTTGATCTTGGAAATATTTCCAAATTGTCACTACAGATATTTGAGGGACTTTTCGTATAGAAGTGAGTACGCCCGTATTTTTTCCGGTACGCTAGTGTGATTTGTCGACCGTCGATGAAATAAGCTAATACAGTTTTGGCGAATCTCTATTGATTTTTCTCCTTGCGACTTGATCTTTGCATTCTCTTGCTCTTCTAGTAATTCTCAAGACCGTGTTTCTATTAACCTCGGTATTGAAAAATAACTCGCCGTTTTCTTGATGAGCACATGCGAGGTTATTATTAGACTATTTGCAGTAGTCGAGGTTTCGGCAGATGCCTCCTTCAGAACTTGAAAAGATCAAGTTGAATGAAATCTAGTCAGCCATATACCTCCATAGACTCAACAGGAAAATTACCAAGCCTAAATTTCTATCACATCGGGACAAAATTGCGTTTTCACAAACTCACCGTTTTCTACGACTTTTACACTTAGGAGAACAAGTGCAGGGGGTTCACATGGATAGATAATTTGTCTCTGTCACGGTAAAATGTCAGTGTGAGGTAATATGTGATGCCCCTTGCTTTTAACTTCACTAAGCATCGTTGGAGATGAGTGAATGCATATCTGGCCTGTACAATGACTCTCGGTGGCCTACCGATGTATAAAGCATGTACTGCTATCCTCCCAGACAGGTCTGGTACCAATTTGCCGACTCGGGTGGGATGGAAAGCTTGGTGAGCTTGTGTCACCGGGATCGATCTCATGTGTATTGCAGGGCGCCTATATCATACATTGCACTACACGTTCCCTCTGTGTGCGAATATATTGTTACATATTATTATTACTATAATTTTAACTTATTATTTGCTGCCTACTCTTCTTAATGGCAGGGTATATGTCGCGAAATATAACATCAATGATGCTGAGATATTTGCAAAACTCCGGACCCCAGTTGTCTGCGGTGGGGACCGAACGCGCTATTGTCCTTTCCGGAGAGTAACGCGTTCAGCACCACACTATGCTGTTCCTTCGTTTCGCCTGTCTCTCAGCTAGTTCTATCGATGTCTGCCGTCAGCAGTCACTCGTCGGCGGGATTGATCTGGCTAGCCCAAATCGGCAATGGTGTGGTGGTGGTGAACGCGTTACTCCCCGGAAAGAACAATAGCGCGTTCGTTTCTCTCCGCAGATACCTGCATTCCGGAGTTTTGCAAATATCTCAGCATCATTGAAGTTATATTACTGTAATGTTGTTATTGTTATTATATAGTGTGCGTTGTTCTTGTTATTAATATCTCTGGCCATTACTCTACTGTAGATACATAGTTGATTACTTCGTTATCTTCACACAAATGCCCAAATGAAGGTGAGCAAATATTTAAAGTTGTTGAACCAACAGTAGTATATAAAATTAACTTGAGAGAAACTGAAATTAAACTGGCTTCCTGTTTTGAACGTTAAACTATCCGAAAATGAATAAATCACCGAAGGATACTGAAAGCCAAATAACAACAGCATGCTGGCTCGGTAACTCCCTTCTCAGTTTTCACACATAAAAAAAGGCGCTTGTGAGAAACATGTTTCTAACAGCCCCAATGTGTGTACAGAAAGAGAGCAGAAGCAAGAATCACAGAAATTGGTGAGGCACATACCCATTCCGAATGGCTACGAATCTGTAGCTCCTCGAAATAGCTGTAGAAGAAAAACGACACCCCGAAGCTATAAATCTGGCTATGATAAAGTCCCGTTTATCCTGCTCTTCATTTCCGACAGAATAAGCGCAACTGTAAAAAGTTCATTTAAAAGGGCAAATCTAGAGGAACCATCACCAATGGTTGAATTACCACCGAACACTCTAATGACTTCAGCCACTTTCTAACAATTTTCTAATTTCCAATTTCTAATGACCATTTTGCACAACGCAAAATTGTATAATTTTCCCGAATGCTAAAAGCTGTTACGGTGTACCTAATCTCTTGTAATGCATGCGGGGACGAACAAATTGGCGAAGCGAATAGACCACTCTACGTCCGTATAAGAGAACATCTAGTCGGTAAATTTTAAATTAAACCAGACAGTTCACTAGGCGCTCATAGGACACAGAGATATAACGAGGAAGATTTTGAAGTAGAAGTTAGCATCCTCGCACAGAAATCGAAAACATCGGCGTGTAAAATCCTGGAGCTGTTTTTGATAAATTCCAAGAATTTAAAAATGTACCGCAGAGAGGAATACCTTGTCATCACGCGTGATCTCAGGCATTAATTATCTTAGGAATATTTTAAAGTGAGAAAGGCACGGTACTCATCCATGCGAACTCTGTGTTGTTCTCCACTTGGAAGATTCGCAGGATACCTTTGAAGAAACGTTGCGTCTGTGGAAACACTACTTTGTTTCCAACGTGGTCGAAATTTAGACTCCATGTTTTTTGTTGAGAGTAGGAAAGTATTTGGCTGACCTGGATGCACTCAACATCACCCTCTGAAGAATACTGAATCCGCGGAGATGTCAGATACTATAAATGAATAATAGAATAAAAACCTCAAATACGCTGATCAAGAAAACAGCTCAGACTATCGTAAAGCAAATTTTGATGTGCTAACAGTTTTACTGAATAATTAACCAGTTAAAAGTTTTACAGCTTACGTTGGTTTATTTTCCTCGCCTAGTCGCTTTTTTTTATTAACATTGTATATTTGCAGAAAATGTAGAATAATAATTCACTTAGTTACGATGTTACAGCTGTGTTTTGCACTGCTGTTACGAAAAAAATTTTCCTGTGAATTATTAAGGGAGAAGACCCCCCTTTTGCTCCTGATGATGTCACTCCAGATAAAATTCGTTCATGGAATACCGACGAGGTGAAGTTATTCGCAAGAATTCCAATTTATTTCTCGAATGCGGCGGTGCCTCGTTTTCAGAATGTATCGCTTGGCTGGAAAAAAGGAATGCGCTTTGAGCTAATGGATCCACTCGCACAGATGTTCAATGAACTACGAGTCGCCAGTGTGCTGGAAGTTCTAAAAGTGAGAGGTCTAGTTTTCCCTTTTCTGTCAATTTTTTCTACTTCAACGTTTTCTCGTTTTTCTCTCTTCTTCCGTGTTTCTCTTTACAACAGTTAGATTTTTGGTATGAGCAGGGTGGATATCTTCGAGTTGGTATGGATGGCCCAGATGTTGAAACAGAGTGTATTCCACTTCACTGCACAAGTCCATTCATGTTCCCAGTTGGATATGCACGAAAGTACAACATCCATTTAGAAGGACCTAACGGTAATTTTTCATCCCATACCTTTAGTGGTGCTTTGAAAAACGTACGACCAAAATGCACTGAATAATTTATAAAAAGCCACCAATATTATTGACGCTTTAGATACCGAAAGTTTTGACTGGAATGACTACCTCCAGCAATCTGGCGCAGTAGCAGCGCCAGAATATCTGTTCCGCCGTACTCCGGAGAGTGCGTATATGGATCACTTCCAAGTGAGTGTGTTTAACTGCTAACTCTTGTCAGTGGTACTTGTTATAAGTTGTTTCTGCAGATTGGTGCTAAACTTGAAGCATCCGATATGTGTGAGAATCACTTGGTCTGTCCCGCAACGGTTGCTGCCCATAAGGGACGTTTGTTACAAATTCATTTCGATGGTTGGGAGGACTCTTACGACCAGCTATTTGACGTTCAGTATGTTTATGTTTCAATCATAAATCACCAGGATATTATAATGGCCAATGATCGAACTGTTCCTAAAGCACAACGAACTTAATAACTGTTCCACATACTTAAAAACTCCATTCGTCACATGAATGAGTTCGTGTGTTACTCGAGATTTGCTTGAAAATCTCTTGAAAAGAATTCACTGTTTCATAATTCAGGGTGAAACATCCTTCCCGAATGTAAGCAGAAGATCACCTCGTTAACTTCGCTTTGGAATTGGACTTCTACAGTTCTCCCTAAAATATGTATTTATTTCTAGCTCAAGCGATATATTTCCTCTTGGTTGGTGTGAAATGCATGGGTACAAATTGGAGCCACCAAAGGCCGAAGAAGAGCCGCCGAAAAAGAAGAGAAAGAAATAGCTATAGGATTAGTTGTTTCGATTGTTTACAATATAACTGCATCGATCTCGAATTTATTACCACGTCTGTGTTTATTGATTCTACCAAATAAAATCTAAAACTATCCGTCTAATAACAGTCATGTACGAGCATACCCATCATATTCCTAATGATATTGGAAATGATACACATATGTGGCTAAGAGTGCACTACGTTTTTAAATACATAAGAGACAGATTAGAATGTCAAAAGTGCATAGGTAGCAATTACCTTGACTTAAGAATCATTGGCTTCCGGTAATGAGATATCACAGCAGAAATCGCCTGGCAAGAAGAAGGCCAAATAATGACAAAAATACCATACAGATAGGAAGTGTCACAAAGAGTGAAACACCGTTGTAGCTGTCCTGATGATCTTCTAACAGTCCTTGGGTTTCCTGAAATAGCGTCATCGTTCAATATTCTTAATGAAAATGTACAAGACTTGGAAGTAAACTGCGCTGTATGGGAAAATTCGACAAACAATCAGATCCGGGGATGATGGTGTCGAAGGTGCAGCTGAAATTCCTTCTTGAGCTTCCGCCGCAGTTGTAACTGCTTCTGAACTTGGTGAAATAGAAGTTGACGAGGAATCTTTGATGTCTGTGGCTGTACGCTTCTCATCTTCGTTCTGAATGATCGCATGCAAATGAGTAAAACTAAGCTTTGACACGTTAACGAATCCGCAAAGATGTTTCGTTACAACTTAAAACTTCTGTTTTCACAACAAAAAGAACCTAAACTAACAAATAAGCTAAAAAAAAATAAGTGGAAGAAAATGGCCTACTTTAAAGCTTAGTTGAGATGCAAGTTCTTTCGCTTCCTTGTTACTCTTCTTTGCATCCTCTGTAAGAGGCTTCAACACATCTTTCATACACACCCCACAGTGCTTGCATTTCCACTCAACGCTTCTTGAATTGGAAAATCCTCAGAGAATAGCCCATAGCCGTTTTCAAATTAACATTAAGAAGGCAATACCAATTCAAAAGAACAATAAATAGGTAATAATGTATAACTAATTGATTTACTTCCTCGCCAATTTTCTTCTCTCAGCAACAGGGTACTCCAGACTACCCAATGCTCCTGCTCCAGCAGTTGGCATGAACCCAATTAGCGCTAACAGTGCAGTTCGAACTGAACAGGTTAAAGAAAACACCTTCCTAAGATGAATGCGAATAAGCGGTTCTTACGACATACTTGACCAAGATGGAAGCCATGTTTCAGGGTGATACCCAGAAATTGACAGACATATCTTTTTATTCAGTTCAAAGCGTCCATTAGGCTGAAATCACGTAGAATGTGAGAGGGATTTTGTCGCTGATGTTTAAACCTCTTCCTTTTCATGTTTAAGCTCCCTAAACTTTATAATGGAAAGCCTTCCTTACTTATATACATGGATACTGCATCTTCGCTAGATATGCAGGAGCCAGTATCTTTTTCTATGACGGATCAAGTTTTTCCAATTGGTACAATCCCTTTGATATGAGAATGGCTGCTTTCAATTTTAAACCAACACATCTTAGCTCATACTAAATTTTATTAGCTAGAGTAAAAACTATCAGAATATCAGAAAGATCGCCCATGTATTACTCTGTCCGGCCATCAACTAACTTAAATACTTACAACAAATAAACGGCTCTGAAGAAGGCGAAACCGCCGAAACGTCAGCAATTGTGTTCTAATAAATTCTATATTAACAACCTCGTGTCTGCTTATTGAAGAAAAACATTGAATTATCAGAATATACCTTTTTGGGCTTTTAACTGAATATGAAGTTGATAAAGAGGCCTATTCAACCAATGTTTCGGCGCCTTCGTCGACCTCAGAGTTGATGATCTGAGTCGATGGTCCACAGTCGTTCGCACACGATGAATCATCGGCTCTGAGGAAGACGAAGGCGTCGGAACGTTAACTGAATAAATTTCTTTAACAATCTCGTATATCTTCATAATCTAAGAAGGTACTGACTATTAGTGCTGAGGTCAGAATATACACAGATTTCGCTACAAGATACATATTATACTATTCTGATAAGACGAATGTCTGCTCACAAGAGACATTTCTTTCAATTTTCTGCACGAAGGTTCATATTCAGAATATGCTAAAAAAAAAACGACGAGATGTCACCAAAGACGACACGATGTCGTTACCTAGCACATTATGGTTGCAACTGACGTTCATCCGGTGGAAATTTCAAAAATTCAGATTTCCGCTTCATTTCTTTAACGTACATTCTAAAGCATGTAAAGTAATCCAAAAAAAGCTGGGACAGTTGAACAGCCAATCTCTGCAAGAAGTGTAGAGCCTAGAAAATTTTTCATTTGTTTTTCTCGCGAACTTCGGTCACGGTGGTGATTTAATTCGTGCATGGTGGCGGGTGTGTCTTATACCGTGAACTGTACAACAACTGCAGCTGCGGCCAAGTCTTCTTGATCTTAGTTACGTCCACCACGTACGTGGTCGTTCCAGAGGATATTTGTATCCACGTGGAGTCCACCCTACAGGTCTTCTCGACCATCTGCCGCCTGCCCTTTCTCATTATAAGACCGGTCCATGTGTTTCGCTATCGGTTTGTTCACATGAAACTCGATGATGGGACAGATTTTGACGAAATGATGTTGGTATTTCAGCTAGATGTTTTGTGTCGGATATATTTCACGAAAGATCGCCCGACCGCTCTGTGAGCGGTGCGCAGAATTTCTGGCGTGGGTGAGATATCAAGCCACGTCATGGATGCATAACAGAGCACAGGTACAACTCTTGAGTCGGAAAGGTGAGCGCAAATTTTTGGGTCTGTTAGTTGGCCGGTGACTTCTTCGAGAGGCATGAACGCAGTCCATGCTGCTCTTGTTCTAATTTCTCCATCATGTTGTTCTCTATGTTGATTGCACGCCCAAGATACACGTACGAGGTGGTCTCTGCAATCAGAGAATCATTCAGTTTAATTTGTTCACAATCGCAATATGAGTTTTTAATGAACTCGGTTTTTTCCAATTTATGCATGGTATAACCTCGTCTTGCTTCTTTGGTGAGACAGCTGATATTTCTGAGAAAATTCTTTGACGGTAGACATGGGTTGGATGTGATCCACGTAGCATTTTTGTGGAAGTCCTCCTTCCTCAAATGGTTGTCCTTCTTTCAATGTCTTTGATCTGCGGACGATAATCTTCTTGAGGGGTCTATAGACCATATTCAAGAAGTATAACGTACTATAGTTAACGGAGATCTCTTCGGTCAGCCTCCCTGGACGGGATAACCGATTCATCCCAAAAAAGATTGACTGAAGACTGGTTGAGGGGCAGCCTTGTGAGCAAGCACGGTTTCGAACAGGATTCGGTGCGATAAAGCATATCCACGCGATAACATGACTCAATGAAGTATCGGGAGCACACAAGAGACAGTTATGGAAGCTCTGTACAACCGGAAGTAACGTCTTACCTTATTATTTAAAGACTATGTGAGCTATACAAAAACTTCACTACCAAAATATCACTTTACAACGGTATTAACATCACAAGACTGAATTTTTTTTAATCTCATCGTTGGTCAATAATTTACTATTTTTCTTGACGAGCAAACACACGGTTGTTATTGCACCATTTACTGATATAGATCACCTAGCTTTCGATGGTTTACTTTCATCAGATCCGTTTTGTTTTTGTATATCTTTAAGTTATTTTATGGACAGTAGCCGCACAGTACTATGTGGACGAAGATATCCTTCTGTGTATTAGTAAATGCTGTAATAAAAATCTCGTTTGCCTACCAAGAAAAACAGTGGTATTAGCGTCGAAGTACATAGCTTGTTAGGCAAGGCGAAACCATCTCACCAAAATTGTTTACTTCCACCCACCAGAAAGACTCCGGAACATTGGAATGGGAAAACATAGGCGTGAAAATCGATTATTAGCAATTATACCACCTTCTTCTTAAGCTGACGCGAGGTTGGTACAGATCTTCGTTGTCGTTGTTTCTGATGTTATTGATCGATGGCTGACGTTGGCGCCCTATTTCAAGATATTTTGACCCCGGGGCGTGTCTTGCTCGCGAATCCACGTGAACTACGTGTGGACCAGTCCCGCACGTAACATCACGGTGAGTGGCCTTTCTGTTCAATTTGGCGTCTATTTGAAAGATTGATCTTCATTAATACTTTAACCTTCTTTTCCACCGAATAATAAAAAGTATTCTAACATAAAGTACGTCCAGGCTCTGAGGAAGGCGAAGTCGCCGAAACGTCAGCCATCGATCAATAACGTCAAAAACAACGACAACGACAACGAAGATCTGTACCAACCTCGCGTCAGCTTAAGAAGATCAGTTTATAAGATCACATAAATAAATATATAAACTATTTATGCCGAGGTTTATAGAACGTCGGTCTTTCGAGTTATACCACCTTCGCCTTGCTGACGACGTCGTTCTTATAACGCTAAGCATTAGGCATGTGGTGTTGAACGAATGCTAGCTGACTTTGATAAAGCCGTAGAAAGATTGGTTCTCAACTGAATCTCATAAAAACCATGTTTCAAAAGAAAAGATTGCTTTCTTATCGGTCAATTGTGCTCAACGGAATGAATTTCTTCGAATGGTCCAATTACGTCCATCTCTCCCGGCACGTCAACATGATGAACCACTTAGCTCCACAGTTGAGCAGGATAAAGCAAGCTACTTGGGGAGCATTTAGAGCACGGAGGATGTAGTGAAGAGGACAAAGAATACCCGACTCCGTGCCCAACTTTTCGACTTTACGATGCTCCCTGCTTTGTTCTGGTGTCGGAACCCGCGTCGCTACGTAGACAGGATAAAGGATCACTCAGTGTTATACAACGCGCAGTCGAAAGTACGATGCTAGGAGTACCATATATAATAAAAGTGAGAAAACGAATCCGAAAATCGAATTTATGTCAATTATCGAAAATCAAATACTCCGTTCCAAATGGCAAATTGCCAAAGGTGAGCTGGGCCGGACACAATGCGTATGAACGACTACCGATGGAAAAGATCCGTCAGCAAGTGGATTCCTCTAAACGTGAAATGCAGAGCAGGAAGACCATCGACCCGATATTCAGAGTTCATCATGAAAACCCAAGAAAAGAAATGATATTCAACGAGGTCAGGAAGAAATGAAAGGCTTACTGGCGCCCGCTCGAGTCACTGGACGATGAACAAGACCTCCGCTGATACAAATGAATATATGTATGCATACTAAGCGGTTTTCTCTCCTTTTCCGCGAGAAGTGGAACCTTACGCAGAGTCGACGGTCTGATACCGTGTGTAAACTTGGGACAACAGTGAAATCGACTAGGCAAAACCTTCGATTTGCTACTACGTTCTCTACTTCGTTATGGTACACTCCACTGGAAGCCTCCCATGTCCAGAGCTGGAAGTGGAGCTTCTGAAATCGTAAGTTACCATGAGTTGACTTGGTTGTCATGCGAAACTCACGTAGCCGCTAATCCCGCTGGTTCCATTGTAATCCGTGGGTTCCACTAAAACGATCTCCATACGTTTTTCTGAGTAGAACCTTAGAGTTGAAACCTCCAATGATAAAATTTAAAAATGTATGGCCTTCCCTGCAATAGTTCTGAAAGTTCATATAGAACACCTCGACCACGCCTTCTTCATAGCTTGGCATTAGTGCCCAGACGACGAAGATTTCCAAAGCCGCTACTTATCCACATCTCTTGAAGTTTGAGCTGTTAGTTGTTCGAATTTAACGATCTGCCTGGGCAAACTAGCGTTGACGAGAACGCCAACGTAGTCGACTCCTTTATTGCTGCATGTCCCGAGGAACAGTTCTTCTCCATTACCATAGTAGCAGAGAGCGTTATATGGAAGGAGTCTTCTCTCATGTAATTATATACATATATAATATATATACATACGTATATACATACGTGTATATATATATACAAACATATATGCATAGGCATATACAAATGTATGGGCCTGTGTATATGTGCATACATGTGTGCAAATACATACGCACGTACACACGTACATTATATTTATATATATGTATATGTTTACATGCAAATGTGCGTGCATACATGTGTATTAAAACGATACAGCAAAACCTTCTAAAATTTCTAACTCCTAAAATATCTACAATACTCTAGTGATTGAGCAATTATTACGATGTTCAAAAACCAACTTCGGGCTTTGTGTTAAACTGCGAGGGAAGTCAACGCTTACGGGTATGTCAAGAAGTATCATGCTTGGTGGTAGTCATTCTACTTTTAGAGCTCAAGGTAAGATTTTTAAAAAAAAGGCTAAAAAGAATAATAATGAGGCCAGATCTAGGAGTTAACAAACATTCATGCATATAAGTTTTCCCGAACAATGTGCCGTATGTGAAATTTCAAAAACCACCCTGTCCTCCATAAGCATGCTGAGATATGAGCAAAACTCGGAACTTCAGGAAGGATTCGAGCTCATGAATATTCGTACTTGGAGCTCACATACTATCCACCACATGAACCGAGGCAACTGCTTTACCCTTCCCTCAATCTTGTTTTTACTCTACCAAAGTTAACAGCAATCATCGTTGAATGGGAATTTCCTATCCTACAACGTTCAGCCATGTCTCATGTCACAATCATTTATAATAGCGACAGATATTTAGCTCCGCTATAGTTATAAAACGTAAGGTAAGTTACGCTACACCACTAGGTGGTTCAATTTAATTTGTAGTTCAGTGAACTATTATGCTAGTAAAACAGGACCTGTGTTAAACAGTCCTGAAATAGACTCCATTATAACAAACCTTTTTGGCACAGTAATAATCAAAGCAGTACAAATACAGGAGTTCTCTAATGAAGGAAAATTTAGAAGCAATATGCATTCAGCTACCGTAAGTATAACCAAATTAGGTGGTTTCATAGGATATTCAGGCGGAAAAAGAATCCGTCCATGGTAAATCCCACCATCAAAATCCGACTCAAGCGGACCACGTACAGTGAAATGCCATTCGAAGAGGTTGTCCTGAAGAATACTGACAATGACAATAATGGTTGTCTAAACGGTAACACCTACATCCTCAAGAGGAAGTACCAAATTTTCTCGCAGAATATTTCAGAACCTCTCCCAATGGTTTAGCGCCTCAACGTGGCTGGGGGGTGTTTGTGAGGGTCGAGCTGCAATGTACAGCAGAGGGATTCATCCCTCCAGAATGGTCTCCCAGGTCGAGAAGGAATCCGCGTTTTCGTCAGGACCCCCAGCTAAAAGTAAACAAATACCAGGATCCGTCACCATCCTAGTACCAAACTAGTCGCATGGTGACAAATCTCTCTCTGATCCACAAAGGCGGCGACCGCCTCTGGTGGTGACCAACTGGGGCAGACTTTGCCCTGGCTGACCTCGGGACTCAGGGTAACCACAATGGTTAAACCAGCAAAACTCCGAAACAATGGAAATTATGCTGTGGCCCGCACAACCAATGAATACGGGCCATCGAAGTATCCAAGTAATTTAGAAGTCAATTACATAGTATCACAGAACATAATATTAACTATGGTTTTTTCTTACCACGAGTTCATAATTGACGAGAAAAGTAGCCAAACTCTTCCACCTATAGGTCGCTAGTACTTTATAAAACAATTAGAATGGATTTTGATTATGATCTCATAATAGCACTAACTTCGAGTGGTTGAGCAAAATACATGTCAGTGGGTTCCCGTAATTCCAGAGCTTCCTTCATGAGGCGTTTAACTCCTGTAAAAATACAATGAACACGCAAAATTATCTCTACAAGTCTAAAAAACAGCAAATACCAATAAAATCCTGTACGTTATGAAACAAAAACACAAAAACAAGAATAAAGACTAGCTTACCCGCACATTTAGTGTTGTAGTGTTCCATAAGGCTTAAAATTCAGAAAAACAAGTCTCTTTCCGTTTCTGGAAAGTAACGATGCCAACAACTTGGAAACAGACTAAACAATTTTCATGAGAACCTGCAGTCAAGTAGACTTGAATGGGATGCAGCTAAGCTTAGAGCAGGGATTCCGACCACTATGCTGTGTCAGCACAAAGTGGCTGGAAGAGTCCGTAGTTTCACCAAATGTTTAATACCGTGTTAATCAATGTTGCCGACTTCTGTGCCACGTTCGAGCTGTGGATAATACGTTTGCCATATTTTTCCTAGGATTTGGTCCTCCTTTTTATAGAATCTGGTCGTATTTCGTGGATTTCCTTTGTGCATATCGAAAGTTAAGATGATGAAAAATCATAGAATTAATGGAGTTTCTAGATTCGTTCTCAATCTTCGACCGTCTTAGACCGCTATTTTGACTCACGGTTAGTGCTCTTACACAGGGTTAGGATGTAGAATTTTCTAAGAACTCAGCTTGACTGTGTTTTCATGCCGTTTGGAATTTCCAGGAATCTTTCAAGAAGTGTACGTGACTTGCCAGTAGAGCAGTTGTTGCTAAAGGTACTGCTGTTGGTGTCAAAGTTTCATGCAATTGGAGTGATTTAGTTAAAAGTTCGCTACAAAAAAGACGGTTTGGCGTCGGGTTTGCATGAGTTCTGTTTTCGCTAAACATGTGAGTCATCAGTGCATTTGTTTGATCATGTGTTTGGAATACTTCACTTCTCATCGTTGTCGCTTTTGTTACCTTAAAATTTGCCTTTTTATCTAAAGTACTTGCATTTGTTCTCTAGAAAAACGAGAAGTCTTGTACAGCTTTCATCCACTGGCCATCACTTCTTCACAACAGAGTATGATGTGAAATGCAACCACCATGGTGCTTGGATATTCGCGTAACTTTGTCTCCAGGCCAGATCGAACCGCAGTTACCCTTTACGAGGGACGAGAGCTCACGTATTCCCCACTGCTCCAGTGATACCTTGCTATGTGTTTCTCTTTTTTATTCTTTGTTCTTCTTTCTCGTTCCTTGACGCATCGTTCTTTCTTTATCCAAGTTTTGCAAAAAGGTTTTGTTGTCTAGGAAGAACACAAATTCTTCGTACTTTCGATTTCGAACCTTCGTGGTTGTTTAGGATACCCTTTTTTTCTCGTTATTTCTGGATAGGATGGAGAGAGCTCCTGAAATGGATGATTTGCTAGACGAACTTGAAGAGAATGGGAATCAAACAAAACTCTCCAAGGTGTCTGAGAGCTCCTTCGGTCATTCTGTTGTAATCGACATTCCTGTCCATCTTCGAAAACTTTCAGAGAAGGTATGCTGAGAATATGTAACGTTGATTTTTGTGTTTATATTTTTAAAATTTCAATTGTCTTATTTTAAAGGTCCTCCATCTGAATGCTTACATTTGTAGTAAATACGAGTTTGTTTAGGATTCAATCAGGATGGATTTGTACCCGCTAGCTTCTATAACAACGAAGGTATGCTTCGTTTTGGCTAGCGTTTTCTCAAGCTACGAAGAAACTTTGTTAAGTTCCAAATTCGGTTTCTTAATGGAAATTCTGATAACTTAATGAAATGATACTGATTGGAATAAATAAATGTATGAATCCTTGTTGAACTTCTCGCTTTAATATAGGATAATGTCGCTTGAACAGTCAAATGAGGGATTACCTCCTTCGAATACTTGAATGGTTTTTATTGTAGAAATTTTTGAGGTTGATTACGAAAGTTTTTAGTAGGATTCGGTTATTCCGAAACAGTAAATATGCTTATGTGTTTATTTCAATAAATTCTAACCGTCCTTTGAGAATTCAGATGACAGACAATAAAAACGAAGCGAACTTGTGCTCCGTAGCCCTCTCTACTGATGCAGTGAACACCGAAAAGAAGGAGATTCCTGTTGAGGTAACTATTGTACCTCCATTAAAAATGTTGCGATCAGGTCAAGTAACCATTCTACAATTCTGCATCCTTATTGCGTATACTTACTTGATTGGTGACGCGTGTGGCGCAGTGGTCGGAGGCGCCTTGCAATACGCGTGGGATCAGTCCCGGCTCCCCAGGCCCACCAAACCTTCCATCTCCACAAGGTTGGCAGATTGGTACCGGACTTGCCTGGTAGGGTAGTAGCACTGACTTGGTTCATCGGTAGGCCACCGCAAGTCATTGTAAAGGACAGATATGCATTCAGGTACCTTCAGTGATGCTTAATGAGGCAGGATGCATAGTGCATCTCTCAGGGATAGATCAACGCCGAAGGCTTTATCCTTCTTACTTGGTTACCTGAATGGCCCGTACTCAGTAGTTGTGTAGGCCCCACCATACTTTCCATTTTCAAAACTACGATGAGTTGGTGAACCGTTGGGAGGATCTTAACCGTTTCACTTACTGCCTACTGTTTTTAATGGCAGGGTATATTGCAAAATATAAGTTTTAACGGTGCTGCGATATTTGAACAATTCCGAACCGCAGGTGTTTGCGGTGGGGAACGAACGCGCTATTGTCCTTTCCGGGGAGTAACGCGTTAACCACCACACCATGCTGGTTCTTCGTTTCGCCTGTCTCGCAGCTAGTTATATCGATCTTTTGCCATCATCAATCACCCGCCAACGAGATTGATTTGGGGAGCCCTAATCAACATTGACCCCAGTTAAGCTGAGGCTATAGTTAGAATCACAATGTTAACCTTTTTATTTACTGCCTGCTCCATTTAACGGCAGGGAGTTCCTTCCCCACTGCAGATACCTGCGGTCCGAAGATTTGCAAATATCTCCGCGTTGTTAGATTTATATTTCGCAATATACCCTGCCATTAAAAACAGTAGGCAGTAAGTAAAACGGTTAAGATTATGATTATAACTAAAGCCTCAGCTTAACTGGGTTCATTGCCGATTTGGGCTCTCCAGATCAATCCCGCTGACGGGTGATTGCTGATGGAAGAGATCGATAGCACTAGCTGAGAGACAGGCGAAACGAAGGACCCGGATGGTGTGGTGGTGAACGTGTTACTCCCCGGAAAGGACAATAGCGCGTTTGTTCCCCACCGCAGACACCTGCGGTTCGGAGTTTTGCAAATATCTCAGCACCGTTAAAAGTTAGGAGGATTATTTATACAGGCGCTTTCAATTGTATCCTGATATTCGAGTGTTTTATACGACGTTATTACCATGGAGTGCAACAAATTTTCCATACAGTATACAAAATGAGGTGTTTCACTAGGCTTGTGGTTATGGTTTATGCTTGTATGCCACATAGCGTTCAGGTACCTCAAGTAACAAATGGGGATTGCTCTGATGAGGTTGAAGGTAATGAAGTGGAGGAGTTGTTGGAACTTGACAGTGAATATGAGGAGATTCTAAAATATCTAAACAAATTCCATGATACCGTCTCCACCCGTGAGTTACAATCGAATATTATATGCTTTGCTGGTACTTGTCAATCTAATATTTGTACCTCCATGAAAAATTCTGCATTGTTTTTCTATCTTGATGTTGCGTCTCGTTTATTCTGTGCTACTTCATTTCCTATCGTTAATGTGCAAAGCTTCTTTCCTGAAACTTTCCTGACTGGATAGCAGAACAGTATAGTGAATGTGAATAATTTATGTTTAAGGTATTGTGATTTGATTTTGTTGTTGTAGGTGAGCACATGTCCACTACTGTTGGAATTGACATAACAAATGGACTGAGCGACTTTTCGTCTTGTGCAGGTAACGTTCAATCATGATTGAAGTGTATTCATGAATAATAGCTGCTTTATACTTACTTATAAGACCTTCTGGCAATTGTGAAGTCTTCTTTACTGCTGTTTTGACTAAGCAATAACCGTGAAGCTCACGGTATTCTGGAAAATATGAGACAAATGAGTAGTACGTGACTGAGAATAACTTAGCACAACTTTTACCAAACGTATAGCTCATTGTGGACTTTGAACTGTATTATCCCTTGGGGGAAGAGAGCGCATTGGTTAATGATGCAGTCGATCAGGAAGCAAAGGCGGTAGTCCAATCCCTGACGGAGTGCGGTACTCCATTTGCAAGGAAAGTAGACTCCACTAACACTTTACGTCTTCATAAAGAAGAAGTCCTCGAGCACCAATTGGAACGAGACCCGAACTGTTCGAAGAGCACTGTGGACGGTGAATGCGAGGAAAGCGAATCGAATGCGAAAAGTGCTGGGATTCGCACAGTTGATGTGATGACGGGTTATGTAAAGATGTGAAATGTAAAAGAAAAACTGCACTTTGAACATGTAATACGGCAGAAGTTGAATTAGTTGATCTAATGTACCATTCTTCACCTAACATACGGCAACTCTCTTGTTCCACTGTCTTCAAGCATCGCGTCAAGTGGTAGGTGAGATGTCTTCAACAACTAAACCTCTTTTGACGTAAACAGAGTTTAGCGCTTCAAATTTTTCTTTCAGAGTAGTTCATTATTTCTGAACCAGCTTAGTACTGCTTTTTATATGACCCCTTTCACATCTACTGTGCGGATCCCAGCAGTTCTCGCATTCGATTCGTTTTCTTGCTTTCATCATCTACCATTGTCTTCTAACTTTTTGCATGTCGGTTCTGCTCCTGCTTGACGATTATCCTTTCTTGATGGACTTCACCGAATACCGCCACAGTCGATTCATTTTCGAGTCTTATAATAGTCGGGCTAGAACGTTCTCATTTCTATTGCAGAAAGTGGTTTTTTTCTTGAGCAAGTCCTGGACCGATATTCCGATCCGGAAGAAATGGAAAGCTTGGTGAGCTCGAAGCGGGATCGAACCAGCACCCCGTGCTCGTGACGATCGGCATTACGCTATCCACCCCTTTGCGTAATACTAACTAATACTATGATGGGGTCTGTTTCGTCGTGAGATCCACAACTGGGAGTCTCATTTTGTTGAGTGAAGAAACTGTTGAATTTTCTGTTGATATGCACTGCAGAGACGCACTTTGCGTATTGGCTAGATGTGCCCTGAAGTACACATATGTCTTCTGGT